TTTAAAAAATTACGGGAATTTCAAAAAATACGTGAAATTGCAAAAATCATTAGCAAATTACGGAAATTACGAAAAAAATACAAATATCACGAAAATTACAAAAATCACGGGATTTTCAAAAATTATGTAGAACTGCGAAAATCATGGGTAAATTGCCAAAATTAAATTTGAAAAAAAATAAGAAAATTATAAAATTACGAAAAAATTCACGGGAACTTCAAAAATTATTAAAATTTCGAAAACATTGGAAAATAACGTATAACGGCAAAGTAACAAAAATTACGAGAATTGCAAAAATTACGCAAAATTTAAAATGTTACGGAAACCACCATTATTAAAAACTAAAAAGCAGAATTATGAAATTTGAGTATTAAAAAAGCAATGGAAATTATTGGCAATTTCAAATATTACGTAGAACTACAAAACTCATTGATAAATTACGTAAATTACAGGAATTATAAAAATGAAAAATAACGAATATTTCAAAAAATCACGGAAATTTCAAAAAAATACGGGAATTACAATTATTGAAAAATTAGGAGAATTATAAAATTACGAAAAAAAATCATGGAAATTTCAAAAATTATGTAAAATTACGAAAATTATTGGAAAATTACGTAATATGGAAAAATATTAACAAAAATCACAAAAATTTCAAAAAATCATGGAAATTACATTAATTATTAAAAAAATTGAGAGAAGAATTATAAAAATTAGAAAAAAATCGAGTATTACGGAAAACAATGAAAATTATTGAAAAAAATTACGCGAATTTCAAAAATTACGTAGAATTGCAAAAAATTATTGGAAATTACGTTTTACGAAAAAATAATAAAAATCACGAGAATTTCAAAAATAACAGAAATTTCAAAAACTTACGGGAATTATCATTATTGAAAAATAAAATAAAGAAATTACGGGAATTAAAAAAATAACAGAAATTACGAAAATCATAAAAAATTACGGAAATTAGGAAAATCATAAAAAAAATTAGGACAATTAGAATAATTATAGGAATTGCAAAAATTACGGAAATTACGAAAAATTGAAGAAAAAAAAAATATCGAAAATAACACAAAAATTAAGGAATTTGTTAATTAACGAAAATTACGGGAATTGCAAAAATTGCAGAAATTACGAAAAATTTCGGGACTACGGAAAATAATTAAATTTTTAAAAAATTATGGAAATTAGAAAAGTTACAAAATTTATGAAATCACGGAAATTTATTAACAAATAGACCTATCTATTTTTACTTGGTATGCGCGCGCAACACGATGAGGCAATGTCTTTTTATTGGATAGCTAATACAGGTGTGAGTTGACCCTTTTGCACGCTGGGCATCTCTTTATCCTTGTTCATTGCACGTGGTCTGACAAGAATAAATCTGAAGTTGATATTCAACTTGACAAGTGTCATTCAAAAGTTGTTTGACATTTTCATTGACAAATACGTTACACAACACGGGGTTTTTTTCCTTTCCTTTTTATCCTGTGCAAATAAGAAGGACGGATTACTATACGTAAGTAGGTATATCATAATTTGGTACGTTTTGCCTCGTCTTGCGCAATGAGCGTTCTGTGTCTTTTTTTATCTAATGAAGTTTTCGTATTATTACCTCTTTGTCTGGTAAAATAGATAGGTCTGTTGCAAAAATCGAAAAAACCTATGAAGATTTTCAAAAAGTTAGAAAATAACAAGAATTACAAGAATCAGGAATTACAATAACAAAAATTATAAAGACCGGGAAATTATAAAATTTCAAAAAACGTCCAAGAAATTTAAAAAACTATCAAAGTTACGAGAATTATAAAAAATTACGGGGATTACGAAAAAGTTACGGGAATTACGAGAATTAGAAATTACAAAGGCTTTCGGGAAATGATTTTGAAAAATGCCCAGAAAAAATACGGAAATTACGGGAATTACCTACTAATTTTTGAAATATACAAAAACGTGGAATTATAAAAATAACGGAATTTTCTGAGAAACTACGGGAATTAAAAAATTACGAAAATTTGAAGAACAACAGGAATTAATAAAAAAATTATAAGAATTATTTGAGAAATGACAGAAATTAAAAAATTTCTAAAGAAAAATTACGGAAATTACGAGTCTTCGAAAATTACAAAATTTGCTATAATGAGCTCTTTATTTTCTTCTTTTTCTGGAAAATTTTCACAATTTTCTTGCCAGTTTCCCGGTTGTGAGAGGGTGAATTTTGCCTAAAAAAGTCAATTTCCCAGAATTTTTCCTGGAGTGATTTTTGACTGGAAAATTTTGAAATTTTTCTATAATGTGCTCCTGACTTTTCTTTTACTTCTAGAAACATTTCATAATTTTCCCTTTGCCAGATTTCTAGAAAAAGATTAAAAAGAGGATGAATTCTCCTTAATTTTGCTGAAAAGTAAGTTTTTTAAAATTTTTCCTGGATTAATTTTTTACTGGAAAATTTTGACATTTTCGTAAAATGAGCTCCTCATTTTCCTTTTATTCCTAGAAAATTTTCAAAATATTCTCTTTGCAAGTTTTCTAGAAAAAAATTAAAATGTTTGAGAGGGTGAATTTTTTTTAATTGCTTAAATAAGTCAATTTTTTAGAACATATTTGAAAGGATAACGCACACCTAACATGAGATTTTTGGGCTCTATGGATTTTGCCCATTTTTTAATATGTTGTAGAGGATTTAATTCTGAACAACCTTTGAATGGGACAAAATCTTGTAGGTATTACGGTTTTTGAGATATGAGCGTTGAAAGATGAACTTTTTTACAACTTTTTGTGTGAAGAGTATACCAAAAACTGGTGTTTATCAGTCAAAATTTTGACAGGTCGACATATTTCACGTCACTAACAAATGTCAACATAGGCTAAGGCCGGGACCGCACTGGCGCCAACATTGACCCCAGTGCGGTCCCGGCCTTAAATTGATTGACATTAATTTTAAAGTGACGTAAAATATGGGAACCTGTCAATATTTTGTCTGATAAACACCAGTAGCACCAGTATCTCGTATACTCTCCACACAAAAAAGTTCATCTTTCAACGCTCATATCTCAAAGACCGTAATACATACAAGATATCGTCCCATTTGAAGGTTGTTCAAAATTAAATCCTCTACAACATATAAAAAAATGGGCAAAATCCATAGAGCCCAAAAATCCCATGTTAGGTGTGCGTTATCGTTTCAGTCGTAAAAAAAAAGAATCACCCTTTGTCGTTTGTACATGATATTTAAGAACACCCTGTATAATACGCAGTTAATTGATTTATATATTTGGGACTCAAACATAGACATTGACAACATTGTCTGACCTTGTTCGATGACGTCATCCTAAATGTTAATATAAGATAAAAACCGTATATTTTAAGGTAAGTCTTGATTTTAACAATAATAATTGCGAACGTGTTCTATGAATTAATCAACGACAAATACTTTTTTCTAAATTATGACGTCATCGTCATGTACAAAAAGTGCAAAAAAATACATAAAATAATTTGGGTGCACTAATTTCTTATATAAGTGTTAGGTAGTGCTATGGTGGGATGCCGAATAGGAGTGCTAATTTTTGCTTTAAGGGTGCTTAGCACCCCCAAGCATTCCCCTAGTTGCGCCTATGGTGATAAATTTACCTGCACCTGTGGACATCGGATTGTGAACAGGATATAATTATTCATACCACTTTTGAAAATGGTGAATTCACAATTCAACGCTTAAATAAAAATACTATAAAAAATAATAAATTTTGGGAGTGTTTTTTGAACGACTTTTGGGTCGAAATTTGGGTTAGTTTGGGTTACTCAAAAAAAAATGTAGCCTCCGGCGGGGGGCTTGTGATGGGCTCTCAGAAATTTCGGCACACAGGCCCGGAGCTGGGTTGATACGTTACTGGTGAGAGTCTAGCCTCCAGTCGACCTGTAATGTCAGAATAATTGCAGGGCAGGGATTCTGACAAAGTGGCCTCATGTCGGGTACCCACAATTTTTTTCTGGTCAATCGGTTGAGAAATAGCGGAGATATAAGCGGAAAAGTACCGTCGTATTAGATCGCCGAAATTTTTATATTCCCGATTTTTGATTGGCTCCAAATTATCCGCTGACCAATAGAATTATAGATTGGGCCCCGTGATTAAAATAACTTTAGCCCTTCGGGCTCGCGTATAACTCCGGCCCTTCGGGCTCGCGTATAACTCCGGCCCTTCGGGCTCGCGTATAACTCCGGCCCTTCGGGCTCGCGTATAACTGAGTTATACGCGAGCCCGAAGTAGTATTACTCAGTATCCCAGATTCACAGATTTTTGTCGTAGAGACGCGGGATCGATTGAAATAATGTTGTCAGATTTTTCTAAATTACATTGAAATATCGAAATTTGGAGAGTGTAATTTGTGAATTATTATTTTAACTAAGAATCAGGAATAAAAAACTGAGATTGAATTTTCAATTTTTTGGAGGAGTCTTCATAGATAATCAAAATTGGAACTATTACCGGCTTTTGATTCGCTAGAAAACTTTCCTGGAGCCAATCAAAAGCCGGTAATAGTCAAAATTTCAACTATTATCGACTCTGGATTGGCTTAAGAATTGTTCTAAGAGCAGTCGAGACTCAATAGCCGATAATAATCAAAATTACTTCTTCCACAGCCTCAAATTGACTCTAGAAAAATCACCAATGGATCAAAAACCACAGATAATCAAAATTTTAACTGTTACCGGCTCTTGAAAAATGTCCTGGAACCAATCAAGAGCCGATAATAGTCAAAATTTGAACTTTTATCAACTTTTGACTCGCTTAAGTCAAGACTCGAGAGCCAATAATAATCAAAATTTGCACCCTTAGAAAATCATACTAAACATATAAGATATTTGATTGATTAACAATAAAGATAGAGGGTCATTAAATTTTTAATACTAAATAATTTTCTCAGATTATCAGAATTTACTAAGCTCTCTAATCCCTAATTGCGTTTTCTAAAATATTGTTCCTTATACTGATTAGTACTTTGGAGTTTATCCTACAATGAAAGTAAAAATTGTTTTGTTGGTGTTTTGTGTGACATTTTGTATGACTCAGCCTTGTAATAAATTATTAACATGGCAAGAGTTTGTGGATATAATTGAAGATATTCCTAAAGATGGTAAGTTAATATTATGATTGTTTAATCCCCTAGATAATATTTTGTTGTTTTTTTTAAGACAGATACGATTTTATTTATGAAAACTATCTAAAAGGTTATAGAATTGTGTATGAAGACCATATTCCTTTAGAGGTAAGGACTTTTTCTTAACTTTCAAGCACTAAAAATTTTTTTGTTTTAGATACTGGATGAAAAATGTAAGCTGTCAGTAGCAATCTGCATAGTAATCACCAAAAATCTTTATAAAAATGCTAATAGTTTCAAATACTTATTAGAAACTAGACAGGAAATTTGCTTTCCGCATCCTATTGGATGCATTAACCCAAATGATCCTGGATTGAGACCATAGATTTTAGTATTCATTTGCCTTAATCCACCACAAGTTCAAAATAATAGTTTTGACATTATCGTTATCAGTTTTAGTAGTATTTGAAACGCACTTTATAGTTGGATGTCATACCTACTACCTATATCACTATAAATAAATATTGTAAATCAAAATTTGGTTTAAAAATAAAAGTTGCAACAAATGTATGTGAGGTAAATCATTCATTATTTCAAAAGACAAGATAATCCCTATCATGATTATGATGAAACGGTTTTGTTAATCGAATAAAAAATTATGCAGTTTTGATTGCAGCAATGAAAATACAAAACTTTAACCAGCAATAGCTTTTTTATTGAAACCTAAATCTTCTACAACTCTTTGGCATCTCAAACAAAGTCCATTTTCAACTAATGACTGCACCAATCTACACCTTGGACAACTAAATTTGTCGCTTTTTGATATTTCAACGTAAAACTTGTTAGTTTGCCTTAACTCTACGTTTGCCACTTGTAACAAATGTCTCAAGTCTTGATGATCAAATTTCCAATTTCCATTTAATCCAACTACAACCTCACTATTCAAAGACCCTCCAGCCTTATTAACTTCTTTTCTAACTTCCAAAACAATCTCCATAGCTTTTTGTATTTCGAAATTCTGCCACTCTAATTGGGGCTTTAGTTTTTCACTAGTAAAAAAACTCTGGCCTAATTTTTGAGGCAAGTAGCTGTAAGTCTCTTCAATTAAATGAGGCAAGATTCCTCCAACAATAGAGGCAACAGTGTAATACAAATGCAGTAAAGTAAATTGGGCAGATCTTCGTGAATCGCTATTGGCTGGTTCACAGTACAATCTGTCTTTAATTGAAGTGAAGTAAATTGCAGATACTTGATTGGTTAATAGTGGAATCAATGAGGTGTTGATTTTGTGGAAGTTGTACGAGTTTATATGGGATTTTGCCTAAAATATTGTTAATTTTTATTATGTAATCATTAATTGATTAATTACCTTATGGTAAAATTCATATAATTCATGTAAGATGTAGCGGTCACTGAATTGAGTTTTTTGAAAGTCACTCTCTTGATATTCGTAGTCGGTTAAGGCACCAATTGCAAACCTCAATGCGCTGCGGATTTTTTGAATTTCATCTTTTGATTGGCTCAATATGTTATCACTTACTGAGGCTAGGGAGACTTGATTAGCATGACATGCTACCCACCATCTATAAAACTTTAATCAGTATAATAAATATTAGGATATATTCGTATAGGATTATGAAAAGGTGAAGAGGAAATGGATAATTTTTGGCATATTCAATAGAGGGGGTAGTCACTTGCAAAAACAGAAAATCTCCATTTATGGAGATCTTCTTGGAACTCCATAAACCCACAGGCAAGGGGTAAACCACCATCCCACAATTGGTGCAAACAATTCCTCAAAGGGGAATTGTTTTTCCTCAAAATTCCTGCAAATTCCTCCAGATACCCCATCACAAATTCCTCCAAATACCCCATCACGAACTTCTCCAAATACCCCCCAAATTCCTCTAAAAAAAGGGAAAATTTTGAAACTTTCTGCATGTCAGAGGAAGGTGAGAAGCTCATTTTCCCAAAATTAAAAAGTTTTCCAGTGGAAAACAAAAACATGAAAAATCTTGGAAGGGAATTCAACCTACAAAAACTGAATAAGTTGAAAATACAGTCTCACACATTTCAAAGTTTTCCTGGAAAACTAGTGAAGGGAACATTTTGAAACTTTTTGCATGTAAAGAGGAAGGTGAGAAGCTCATTTTCCCAAAATTTCAAATTTTTCTAGTGGAAAATAATAACATGAGGAATATTGGAAATCAATCTACAATAACTGAATTAATTGGAAATACAGTCTCACATATTTCAGAGTTTTCCTGGAAAACTAGTGAAAGGAAAATTTTGAAACTTTTTGCATGTAGAGAGGAAGGTGAGACGCTCATTTTCCCAAAATTTCAAATTTTTCCAGTAGAAAACAGCAACATGAAAAATCTTGGAAATCAACCTACAATAACTGAATTAATTGAAAATACAGTGTCACACATTTCAAAGTTTTCCAGGAAAACTAGTGAAGGGAACATTTTGAAACTTTTTACATGTAAAGAGGAAGGTGAGAAGCTCATTTTCCCAAAATTTCAAATTTTTCCAGTAGAAAACAGCAACATGAAAAATCTTGGAAATCAACATACAATAACTGAGAATACAGTCTTACATATTTCAAAGTTTTCCTGGAAAACTAGTGAAGGGAACATTTTGAAACTTTTTGCGTGTAAAGAGGAAGGTGAGAAGCTCATTTTCCCAAAATTCCAATTTTTTTTAGTGGAAAATAACAACATGAGGAATATTGGAAATCAACCTACAATAACTGAATTAATTGAAAATACAATCTCACATATTCCAGAGTTTTCCTGGAAAACTAGTGAAGGGAAAATTTTGAAACTTTTGCATGTAGAGAGGAAGGTGAGACGCTCATTTTCCCAAAATTTCAAATTTTTCTAGTGGAAAACAGCAACATGAAAAATCTTGGAAGTCAACCTACAAAAACTGAATTAGTTGAAAATACAGTTTCATACATTTCAAAGTTTTCCTGGAAAACTAGTGAAGGGAAATTGTTGAAACTTCTTGCATCTAAAGAGGAAGGTGAGAAGCTCATTTTCCCAAAATTTCGAAATTTTCCAGTGGAAAACAGCAACATGAAAAATCTTGGAAATCAACCTACAATAACTGAATTAATTGAAAATACAGTCTCACACATTTCAAAGTTTTCCTGGAAAACTGGTGAAGGGAAAATTTTGGAACTTTTTGCATGTAAAGAGGAAGGTGAGAAGATCATTTTTTCAAAATTTCAAATTTTCCAGTGAAAAACAGTAACATGAAAAATCTTGGAAATCAACCTACAAAAACTGTATTCATTATTCTTTTGAATTTTTTAAATTTGACAATTTCCTATAAATTCCTCATAAATTCCTCACAAATTCTCCCAAATTCCCCATAAATTTCTGCAAATTCCCTATAAATTCTCCAAATTCTCATAAATTCGGATAAGTTGCCACAAATTCCCCACATTTTTGGCAAAGAATTCCTAGGTGGTTTGCCCCTTGCCCACAGGGAAATCTTGGAATCTTCAGGGCTGGGACTCTGTAACGGGTAGAGATCATTATCCCCATCGCTATGGCGCTTGCTGTCTTCTTCTCTCTTTTCGAAATCAATAGAGAGGGGACGTCAATAAAGATAGAGAATATACATACCTACTGTATTCGTTACAGAGTCCCAGCCCAGGCATATCCTTGGCTTTCCATGAAGATCATTTGGTTTTCATGGATCTCAGTGTAACAGTACACAATAATAACCATGTATCTTCAAGGATATTTCTGCATTTCCACAGATCTCCATATATATCCACAGATCTCCATCCAGTAAGATAGAAGATTTCCACCACTTGCGATTTTTTCAAACAGAAAATGTCATTTATGGAGATCTTCTTTTAACTCCATAGATCTCCATGGATATCCTTGGATCTCCAGGAATATCCTGAGATTTCCAGACAAAACTCGGATTTTTGAACATTTCTATTGGGTTTTTGAGTTTTTCCAAAATGACACTGAGACACTCACAGCTTCGGTAATGCCAACCCTGGTAGGAAAGAAGATTTGCACACTGACTACCCCCTTGCATTCCATAGAAACCAACTACAATTTTAGTTAAAGTTACCTTAAAGCGTCAACTCCATAAGCTTTCTGTCCTCCTTTCTTACCACAAGCAACTTCCACAGGATCTACAACATTTCCCAAAGATTTAGACATTTTCACTCCCTTTTCATCAACCGCAAATCCATGTACAAAAATATTTTTATATGGAGCCTTATCTCTAAGGGCTGTTGAAGTTATAAGACTAGATTGAAACCAGCCATTAAACTGATCAACGCCCTCTAAGTACAAGTCAGCTATTTTTGGGTCTTTTAGGGCATAAGACCAAGAAACACCGCTGTCGAACCATATATCCAAAATGTCTTCACCTTTTAGATAATTTTTAGCAGGATATTTTGAAGGCAAGAGATGTTCTAAAGGTAGCTTCCACCAGAAATCTGTTCCAGATTCTTTTAACTGGGCACAAAAATGTTCAATAGTGTCCCTATTAATGAGAATTTCCCCAGTTTCTCTACCATAAAAAACCGGTATAGGAACCCCCCATTTTCTCTGCCTTGAAATGCACCAATAAGGTCTCTTTTGCAGCTGACTAACCAAAGCCTTTTTATAAACATCTCCCTTATCTTCAGGCATAAAATTAACACATTCTAGCAACTCTATAGCTCTATTTTTAATTCGATTTGTATCAATAAACCATTGTTTGCTGGCCTTAATTATCACAGGCTTTTTTGTCCGCCAGTCATAAGGGCAACTGTGCACAATTTCAGATTTATGCAAAAGATTTTCAGCTAAATGTTGCATCACAAGTTCGTTACCATCGGTTAGGACGAATTTGTTTGCAAAAATTTCACCCGCTTCAGGTTTATAAAGACCTTCGTCTGTTATCAAATCCCTCTGAGAAATACAAAATACTTATCACTTATGATTATTTAAACAAATTAGAACTTACAATGATTATTTTGTTTTTGATGCCAACTAGAAAATCATCAGGTCCGTGTGCAGGTGCTGTATGCACCAATCCGGTACCTTTTGTGCTTGTAGCATGTGAAGAGTGTAAAAATGGACAAATTTCTTGTTTGTAAATTGGATGAATGTAAGTGGCATCTTTTAACATTTCTCCTATAGTAAAAAAGGTCATTTACTAGGCAACTAATTAGCTAAAAAATTACCTGAATGTACCCCTAAAAGTTGATAATCGCAATTGGTTTCTTTACAAAAACTATCAAATAAATCCATAGCTACAATATAAACATCCTTATCATCTAAATCAGGCTTTTTAATTAAACAATAAGTTAAAGTATTGTTATAACATATAGCTTGATTGCTAGGTAAAGTCCAAGGAGTTGTTGTCCAAATAATTGCAAAAACCCTACAAAACTAACAATAGAAACCCAAAATCTTATATTTTTGTTTAATAAGTACTTTTTTCCCTTGAGACTCAAAACTTGTGGAATATTTTTTATTTCCAGCCTTACATACGCACTAGGGCTTATATGATTTTCATTATATTCTAGTTCAGCTTCTGCTAGAGCTGTTCTAAAAATCAACATAATAACTTTTTAATACATTTCATCAATCAAATTACCTTGAAGAAGGACTCCAATAAATTGGCTTAACATCCCTATAAATATAACCTTTTTCATACAAACTCAAAAATTGTCTCAGTTGATTCTCAACATAATCAACTGATTTGGTTTTGTAAGAGTTTTGCCAGTCTCCTATAACGCCCCAGGATTTGAATACATCCATTTGTTGTTGGATGGTTTTATCAGCAAAAAAACTGGCTTTGGATCTTATTTGTATGGGGTCTAAGTTTTTACTATCAGAGACTGCTTTTAGTTCTATAGGTAAACCGTGGCAGTCCCATCCAGGCACGTAATGCACTCTTTGTTTATTGAGGATTTTGTACCTTAATATAGTGTCTTTTAATATCTGAAATATGTATTTGTGAATTCAAGTTTGGTTTGAGGTAACTACGTACTTTATTAATTGCATGGCCCATATGGGGTTTTCCATTGGCATAAGGGGGCCCATCGTGAAGAACATATTCAGGGTTGTTTAAATGGGTTTTTTGCCATTCGTATAAGTTGTTTAAGGTAGCTAACTGAAGATATTTTAATGTAATATTTATGTACTTAAATTATGTGTTTACCTTATTTATATTTTTGTCTCTTTCGACTAGTTTTGCGCCTTCTAGCCTTAAAGGTAGTTTTGTCTTGGGTAAAAGCACTGTACTACTGTATGGGTTGTTTTTGGAGGTAGATATGGTGCAGTAGCATTTGCTATGCAGTTTTTGAGTCGTGTTAATTAGTTTTAGCATAATTTATTAGGCGAAATATTCGAAATTTAAATTATAAACAAAAAATACAAAATGCTTGGGACATTTTCGGAGTGCAGTGCAAAAATTCGTGTTCGGGTTGAAACAGAACACAAGATTTTTCGTGTTCTGGAGCACGAGAGTAATAATTATTTGCATTTTGTTTGTGATTAAGTGAGATCCATGATTTGTGAATGCTAGATCTGCTCTGCTCTGCTCTGCTGTCTTAAAAAAAGGATTCCTGATCTGTTTGGAGCAGATTCAAATGGAACCTATATAAGGTCCCTAATGGCTGTTTGCACCGACTATTGAGGGAGTTTTAACGCTTAAAGTGAAATTGTTACATGTAAAAATGTTGAATTAGCGTTAATTATCATTAAACCTTGCTTAAAATGTTCGGTGCAAACAGCCATAACTGTTCCAGTGCGGGTAACTAATAAATCTGCTCCGTGCAATACTGGTCCCGAAACCCGAAACCAAATAGGGTTCTGTTCCAGAGGGTATTTCTGTAACTGCTACATCTGCTTTGAGCAGAACTGGTCTTAAATTCACGAATCGTTCAAGCTGTATTTTTTGAGAATCACAAGTTATCTCTACTTGGAACAGATTCAAATGAAGCGAAATAGGGTATTCATCTTACCTTGCATCAGTGCGTATTTTGTAATTTCTAAATCTGCTCTGATTAGAACTGGTTCCATATACACCAATCATTGAAGCTGCATCTTCTTGAGAGTCACCATTAACTCGAGAGTACGGGTCTGTGCTTGGAACAGATTCAAATGAAACTTATAGGGGTTTTATCGACCTGTCCCAGTGCGTATTTGTAAACTGGTAAATTTGTTCTGAGCAGAGCTTCAAGTACATGAATCGAAGCTGCATTCTCTTGAGAATCACAGGCTGAGTTCGACTTTGCACTCCACGGAACAGAACGGTATGAGCATGGATATCGTGATGTCATATGCGGTCATACGTAAAAGAGAACACTCTGAGAGCTAAAAAGAACAGGATCTTATCGTTTCGAGCGCGCTCAGAGTTACAGATTGTAAAGCCGAACTCAGCCACGGTTTTCTGGAGAATACGCGAGTGTCTGCCTGAAACAGATCTAGATTAAACCAAATAATAATAAGGTATTTATCTATATATTCTAGTTCGTATTAGTAACTGCTAAATCTGTTCTGAGCGGAACTAGTCCCAAATACACGAATTATCGAAGCTGGATTCTCTTGTGAATCACATTTGTCTCGAGAATACCAGTCTCTGCTTGGAACAAATTCAAATGAACCCAATTAAAGGGGGTGTGCGCCAAAAAAACAACTTCATCTCAAAAAAAAGAGAAAAAAAATCTAAGAATAACAGTGAAATCCGCACTCCTCTATAATAAATAATACCGCAGATATGGCTCTATGAAGGTATCGCATCTCACCCTATGACGTCACGAAAGCTCAAGCGACGCACGAGAAAGTGGAGTTAATTAAATTTACATATGTTTTTCCTGTGTTACCTGCAATAATCTAAACATAAACCACTCAGGTGTGCCGGGAACAATCAAATTAACAATGCGGAGCGCGGCTGGACGAAGTTCTCGTGACGTCACGAGAGCGACGTCCACACTTTAAAGCGGTATATCTCAGCGATGGTTTATCGTAGAATAACGAGGTTTGAACAGTTATTCTTAGATTTTTTTACACTAAAACATTAATTTTTGGCGCACACCCCCTTTAAAGTATTCATTTACCTGTTCCAGTGCCTATTTTGTTACTGCTAAATCTGTTCTGAGATTACTGGTCCCAAATACACGAATCATTAGAGCTTCATCCTCTTGAGAATGACAGTTGTCTCGAGAATTGGAGAATACGAGTCTCTGTCTGGTACAGATCTAAATGAAACCAAATAGGGTATTTATCTATCTGTTCCAGTGCGTATTTGCAACTGCTAATTCTGTTCTGAGCAGAACTGATCCCAAATACACGAATCATCAAAGCTGCATCCTCTTGTGAATCACATTTGTCTCAAGAATACAAGTCGCTCTGCTTGGAACAGATTGAAAGATTGAAATAAAACCAAATCGGATATTCATCTACCTGTTCCAGTGCGTATTGGTAACCGCTCTGTTCTGAGATTAAAGAACTGGTTCCAAATACATGAAACATTGAAACTGCATCCTCTTGAGAATCGCAGTTGCTTCGAGAATACGAGTCTTTGTCTGGAATAGATCTAGATGGAACCAAATAGGCTATTTATCTATCTGTTCCAGTGCGTATTATTTAGTAACTGTAACTGTGCGTTCGGTATTTTGATCTGAGTTCTCCGAGCTTGAATTTACCTTTTTATCTAACCTTGCGTTCGGTGTTTTGCTCAGAGAGCAGAGCGTGCTGAGCGGAGCCGTAATCACGTGACCAGTGAGAGCTCAGGACAGTTGAACGCTGCATCAGAGTGCCCGAAATTTTAATAAACGAATGCGAATGAGCCTGCACCGAGTACACTTTTTGAAAAAACGAACAGTAATTCGCGGTTGTTTATTAAAATTTCGGGCACCCGGATACAGCGTTCAACTGCTCTGTTCGCTCGCTAGTCATGGGATTACGGCTCTGCTTAGCACGCTCTGCTCTTTGAGCAAAACACCGAACGCAAGGTGAATCTGTTCTGAGCAGAACAGGGCTGGGATTACAAAGAGTAGAATTCTACTTTCATGACAACACCCGCGACCTATTTATCGCGTACAGTATAGGCGATGATGATGGTTTCCAGGCAACCTGACGTCATGAAAGTAGAATTCTAGTAGAATTCTACTTGTCGTGATCCCAGCCCTGGTCCCATCAAATACACGACATATCAAAGCTGCATCCTCTTGTGAATCACATTATTGTCTCGAGAATACGAGTCTCTGCTTGGAATAAATTGAAATGGAACCAAAATAGTGCGCATTTGTAATTGCTAAATCTGTTTTGAGATTAAAGAACTGGTTCCAAATACATGAAACATTGAAACTCCATCCCCTTGAGAATCACAGTTGCGTCGAGAATACGAGTCTTTGCTTCGAACAGATCTAAATAAAACCAGAGGTGCTTTCCACTGACCCATTGAGTTACTCCTGAGGAGTGCTCCACAATTGCTTTGCGCGTTCCAGTTCCAGTGCTTAGAGTGTCGTACACTTGAACTACTCATTTCTGTTATCTCCTGCCCCCTCACGCACCAACATTTATTTCGGTGTTCCATGCTCCTGAAGTCCGAAATGGTGGGGGTTAAGACGAGAGCGTTCCAGTGTGCTTATGTCAAACAGTTCAAAGCGTCACACTCCAGGAGCATGATACTTTAAAAATTCAGGCACTGGAAAGCAACTCAAATAGGGTATTTATCATTGTATTCATCTACCAGAGGGTTGCTTTCGATTTTCCTGGTTGTTGATGTGAAAATTATCTCAAGGAGTGGGGGTCCGACACACTTCGGTGTGCCAATAGTTGTATTCCTTTCAAGAATTTGAAGCACTAGAGCTACTCGCTCCGGTGTCAGTCAACCCCGATTTGAAATGAACAGATGCGCTGGCTTTCATGCATTTAAATGGTTAAAAAAGCAATACCTGAACCTTAACCCGAACGGCTGGAGTGCGAATGGAGTCATTCTGAGTGCACGGAGTGAGCAAGCCGAACCCACCTCATGTTTCCGAACGTCGAAAACCGTGTGATTTTTATCCCCACTCCGCCTTTTCGTACGGCAGCTGTGTGATTTTTATGCGACACACCACGTTCTCGAACGCAACCTAACTGTTCCAGTGCGAATTGGTAAGTGTTAAATCTGTTCCGAACAGAACGTCCAAAATAAACAAACACGAATCTAAAACTGTATCCTCTTGAGAATCACGTCTCGATAATATGAGTTTGGAGCAGCTTTATATGAAATGAAATCGAGTATTCGTCTATCTGCACTAGTAACTGCTAAATCTGTTCTGAGCAGAACTCCGAAATACACGAATCATCAAAGCAGCATCTTCTTGGGCAACACAGTTATCGCGTCTCGAGAATACGAGTTTCTGCTTGGAACAGATTCAAATAAAACCATTCATCTACCTGTTCCGCTGCTATCAAAAACTATCGATAGTAGGATTGTAATTATCGATATCCTTTCCATCAATTTTTTCCTAACCTCAATCTAATGTTTACATTTTGAATCATAATGTTTAAAATTAAATTTTGTGGAAATCTTGCTCAAAAATATCTAGTTTCGCCCTTACTGAGTACGAGAATCATTCAGACAACAAACTCCCAAAAACCTAAAACATTTAGTTCTTTGCCAGACAGTGAAAATGATTACAACAAACCAAAACAACATTTCAAAAGCATGCCCCCAAATCCAGTCAAATCCTGGAAACCAATCGAATCTGAACAAGAATATCTGGTAAAAATTAAAAACGATCCTGATACTTTCGGCAATGACACCGATACACTTATAGAATATCCAGACAAAGGTGACATTTTGGAAGAGAAATTTTTCACTGAGCAACCCAAGCCCGGTCAAAGACTGAGCACCAAAAAATATGCTGATTTAATAAAAACTTACATCAGGCAACGTAAAATAAAAGAAGCCATAGACGTGTTAGAAGTAAGAATGTTAAAAGAAGACAGAGTCAAGCCTGAAAATTACATTTACAATCTACTATTGGGTGCCTGTGGAAGAGTTGGATACACTAAAAAAGCCTTTATGCTTTATAACAATATGAAAAAAAGAGGGCTTCAAGTTCACCCAGGTACTTACACAGCACTATTTAATGCTTGTGCCAATAGTCCTTGGCCCTTAACTGATGGCCTTACAAGAGCAAAACATTTATACGATATTATGATAGAAAAAAGCCATCAACCAAATGACACAAATTACAATGCAATGATAAAAGCATTTGGTAGATGTGGCGACTTACCTATGGCATTTTCATTAGTGGACGAAATGGCACAGAAAGGATTCCCTATTAAAAATGACACAATTAATTTTCTATTGCAAGCCTGTGTGAGTGATAAAGACACTGGATTTAGGCATTCTTTACTTGTATGGAGAAAGTTAATTGAAAAAAACATTAAACCTGATATTTTTACTTTTAATTTGCTACTAAGATGTGTAAGAGATTGTGGATTAGGCAACATTGAAGCTACCAAAGAAGTTATCGAGAAAATAGTTTGTCCAGAAAGTAATAGATTATATTTGAGCCAAGGCGAAGAGTTGGAGAATGTACAAAAAGACTTATCAGTAGATTTGAGGCCAAATTTGTTAGCCAAACAGGCACATTTAGGCAACATACTTTCTCTATCAGAAATCAGTAAACCTGAAGACAAGCTTTTATTGGTTGGAGGTTGTAAAGGGTTTCTTGAAACAATGTCTCAACACAAATGTATTCCAGATATTAAAACTTTTACACAATTGTTGAATAGTTTACCAAGCACACAAGCTGCTGAAAAAGAGTTAATTGCAGCCATGAAAAAAGCAAATGTTGTAGCTGATATTGATTTTTATAATATGCTTATCAAAAAAAAGGTAATTTGACACCGTGTTGTGGGTTTTATAACAGTGTTAATTTTTTTTTTAGAGTTTAAGGTCTGATTACAAAGGTGCTAGAGAAGTGTTAGCCTTGATGGAAAATAATGGGATGCGTCCAGATTTAATCACTTATGGTGTGCTGGCTATAGGATGTAAAACCAAAGAAGAAGCCCTAGATTTAGTTGATCAAATGAAGTCTTCAGCTTATACGTAATGATTTTTAATTCAGTATTTCCAATAATGATTGGATTTTTTTTAGGTTAAATGCAGTTATATTAGGAGCAATGCTTCAACAAGCCTGCTACCACCAAGCATTCGACTACATCAATGAAATTATGCAACTATGCCTCAGAGACAACGTCCCAGTCAATAAAAAATTCCTGGAGCATTTGGACAATTTCAAAAAAAAGATGAAAAATAAATTGGCCTCTAGAAAAGCAAGCAAATACGAAGTGGGGCAATTTTCTATTTTCAAAGAAAGGTACAAGACCTGGTTGACTGAAGTGCAAGCTGATGAAACCGAAGAGGCCCATCCTTGGCAACAGTATCGTCAAGAGCGGCCTGGAGATGTGAAACATTTTAGTCCCAAAGATTCTGAGAGATTTAAACCACGTCATTCTTCAAGATTTAAAGTGAAGACGTCAATAAAGCATAGAGAAAAGGGACACAGTTATTGATTATTATCTAAAATAATAATTGTACTCTGTGATAAATTATTTTTTAATAAATTTTGAGGAAATATAATGAATGTACAATCCACTGAGAAAGTATTGCAAAATAAACCTGTTTGTGATGTCACATTCAGAGGTGGCACAAGTACATTATGAAAGTACTTGAAGTACAAGTATAAAGTAAATAATATTTAATAAATTTACTTGAAGTACAAGTTTTTTTTTAAATTATACTTTGATTATCAGGCGAACAAGTATCCAAGCTTTACGTTATTGATTATCTATAAAGTAATAAAAGTACTAAGGTACTTTGGAGCTTGGTAATTTTTTATATTTTCCGTTATAAGGTGCGCCGATTCGAGTTAAATTTTGTATATCTCAGTTCCAGTTCTAAAAATCAAGCGGGGCATGATTCCAAAATGTACAGGGTATTTGATTATATTTAAGCTTATACCTACAGCCTTTACTATGTATTTAAGGCACGGTTAGAAATAATTATCCAGATCTCCAATGAATATTTGAGCAAATTGAAATAAATTATATATCATTGGAAAGAGCTATAAATCCGTGCAAAATTGAGCTTTATAGCTCCAATAGTTTTTAAGCAATTGAGTCTCAAAGTTGGCTTTTAGAATTCAGAAAAAGTACCCTTATAAAAACGCAATTTTTTTATTTTTTAGTTTTGCTCAATTTTGACTTCACCATACGATAAAGCGGGTCTAAATTAGTGGAAAACTACCCTGACATCATTTCCAAATGGCTGTTTTAAGCAGAAACAAAAATAAATCCTATTTTTGGTTCTAGAAAAATTTCAAAATCTTGACATAGTCATGAACAATTGCTCATATGTTTGTTAAATTTCAAGCAAATTGGAGAAAATTATCTATTATTGGAAAGAGTATTAAATTCTCTATAAATCTGTGCAAAATTGAGTACAGTGACTCAAATTGTTTTTGAGCAATTAAGCCTCAAAATTGACTTTTAGTCCGAATTTTGTCAAAAACTTCAAACTCAATTTGCTCAAAATCTATAAGCCTAAAAATACTGTAAGTTACAGGCCATTTAGAGCTTAATAAGAGCTACAAATGCTGAACACTTCAATGCAATTTGCCTAATGGTTACGGAGCAATTGAGGTTTGAAAATTTTGGGATTAAAATTCGAAGAGTACCCCTTATAAAAAACTCGATTTTTTTATTTTTTAGTTTTGCTTGATTTTGACTTTACCAATCGATAGAGCGGACCAAAATTAGTGAAAAACCATCCTGACATAATTTCTAAATGGCCATTTGAAGCTGAAAAAAAATTCAGAAGGAAATCCTATTTTTGAAAATTTTCAATTTCTTGACATGGTCATGAGCAATTGCCAATATTCTTGTTGAATCTCGAGCAAATTGAAATAAATTATATACCATCGGAAAGCGCATTAAATTCTCTATAAATCTGTGCAAAATTGAGTTGGATAGCTTGAATAGTTTTTGAGCAATTGAGCCTCAAAGTTATTTTTTAATCCAAATTTTGTCAAAAATTTCAAACTCAATTTACTCAAAAACTATAAATCTGGGAAAATTGTAAATTATAGGTAATTTAGAGCTTAACAAGAGCTACAAATGCTGAAAATTTCAATGCAATTTGCTCAACGGTCACCAAGAAATCGAGGTGTAAATATTTTGGAATTAGAATTCAAAGGGGTAGGTACCCTTTATAAAAAACTCGATTTTTTTATTTTTAGTTTTCCTTGATTTTGACTTCACCAATCGATAGAGCGGACCAAAATTAGTGGAGAACCATCCTGTCATGATTTCCAAATGACCATTTGAAGCTGAAAAAAAATTCAAAAGGAAATCCTATTTTTGGTACAGGAAAATTTTGAATTTCTTGACATGGTCATGAGCAATTGCCCATATCCTTGTTGAATTTCGAGCAAATAGAAATAAATTATATATCATTGGAAAGAGCAATAAATTCTCTATAAATCCGTGCAAAATTGAGTTTAATAGCTCAAATAGTTTTTGAGTAATTGACCCTCAAAGTTGTTTTATAGGTAGTCCAAATTTTGCCAAAAACTTCAAACTCAAGTTGCTCAAAAACTATAAGCCTGGAAATAATGTAAATTACAGGGTTTTTAGAACTTATTGAGAGCTACAAATGCTTAAAATTTCAATGCAATTTGTTCAACGATTACCGAGCAATTGAGATTTGAATATTTTGAAATCGGAATTCAAAGCGGATACCCTTATGATAAACTCGATTTTTCAATTTTTCAGTTTTGTTCAATTTTGACTTTACCAACCTATAGAGGGGGTCAAAATTAGTGAAAAACAACCCTCATCATTTTCAAATCCATATCTCTGTTAAATTTCAAGCAAATTGGAATAAATTATATACCATTGGAAAGAGCATGAAATTCTCTAAAAATAAAGGTGTGAGCTTAAATATAATCAAAAAGCCTGTATAAATACTAAGTCAAGATTCGAAAATGTTTGTCATGTTTTGATATTTGGTAAGAATGCTTTGGTCATCCGACATGAGAACCGTTCCAGAACCAGTAATTTCTAGTTGCCCACCTATTTTTCAATCAGTTGAACGTTTATCCTACTCGACAAATGAATTGGTCGAACAGAAATTACCATTCCAGAAGGGTTCTCATGTCAGTTGGAACAGAGCTATTATTGGTTACTGATGGAAACACCAATATAAACTTTATTGCACAAAATCAGTATATTTATTCTAATAAAACGATAAATTCTAGTAACAATGAATAATAAATAAAAATAATTTAATAATTAGTAACACCCTGCAGCTTGTAATACCCATTCGTTTGGCGACTCAAAAAAAGTCATGGATGGAAAAATCATAAAATAATATCTTCTTAAATTTGACTAATAAACACATACTATGGAATGTCTTAAAAAAACCTTCCTACAGATCTAACTGCGATTCAACAAATCTGACAATTCTCGCATCAAATTTATGTTTTCGTGCATATAGGCCTTAGTTTCCCACAACATATTACACAATTTATCGTCAGACTTTTCGTCCATTGCAACGTCCTCGGACAATTGAGGCGAAAATCGAAAATACGGAATACCTAGCGAGGAACACCACGCCCTGGCACGGTCAACAACTCTTCCATCACTCAATGTAGCCTAAAAAAATTTGCTTGATGTTTTACAAAAATTAATATACAAAATACAAACCTGATCAATTAGCAAAGTGTACAAGTTTTGTATCCCCATAACTAATTTGGTGGTGTCCCATAAACTTTCAGGCCTAAAAACATCGACATCCTTCAATTCTGTCCCTGGAATCACTCCAGTTCCAAGACTAACTACAACAGACAAAGGACAAGCTTCCTCTTCCCTACCTACAGCTTTTAAGGCCAAACAATGCTCGTGTATTTCAGTCATGGCGTCTAAAGTTGGGTTGTTTGATATCAGGCCGCCGTCCAAATATCTTTGGAACATTCTAGAACAAAATATAACTTTGGTTTAATTTGAGCAGGTTTTGTTATGTACCTGTAGTAAGTGGGTGCCGCTCCAGTGGCTCTAGCAACTTGCCAAACATATTGTTTTTCAGGATGAGGAGGCATTTCATATGCAGAATCATGTTTTACTCCTAGAATCGTACTAGGGCTGTTGTAGTTTCTAAATAGGTGCAATTCAGTTGGTTTTCTGTCGGCTAATAAACCCGTAACCATTACCTGTTAGAAATGTTTTGAGTTAAATTTTGCAGTTTTTTTTGTTTGCAAATAATACTTTTGGATTTTTAATGTCGGACATAACAGTTTCAGAACCAAAAAGTTCCTTCATAACATTTTCCAGATTTTCGCTGGCATAAGGCCTACTTCCAATAAAAGTCTTCTCTTTCAAATAAAAATACAAACATTGGCACTCTTTCATGGTTTTCCCAGAAGCAATTCCTTTAAGAAACAAATATTTATAAAAATCAAATTATTATTTATATTGATTTGTACCTAAAGCCAATATGCCTCCTGTACTGGTACCGGCTAGCCAATCAAAGCAAAAATGTACAGGTTTGCCAAAAACTTGTTCCAATTCTAAAAGCATTTGTACGAGGACCAAACCTCGGATGCCGCCTCCGTCCAGGCACAGCAGTCGTCCTGTTTTAGGAAAGTCGCCCTTTTTGTGTTTTTTGGCTGCTACTTCCATTGCGGCTACAGCTAACATCTGATTTAGTATGTCGCGATTCGTTGGACCGATGACCTGCAGGAGAAATAACTAAATCTTCATAAAATTATTACTATGTTAAGTCTTGAACCCTGTACAATAAGTTCTGAAATAAAATGCTTAAGTAGCTTTTGAAAATCTATACTTTTGAAATTATAAAAAGTTTGCAACTTCAAATATTTGATATCCAGGCTTTAGTTTGTTCCAGATGAAGATTTTCAAGTATTTCAATATCTACATAGAATCTATTGCTCATTTTCTTACTAGGACTTAATCTACTCCTCTAAAATTTGGAACTAATGTTAAGAATTATTTCTTGATAATTTGGAACCTTTTTCTTTGGCTTGAAAGCTGACTTACATAAGAGTTTTTATATGCTATGACATAGTTTTTTAAAGAGATTTAAATTGTTTTCTAATGCAAACACTGCATATCCAAAACTTGAGATTGAAGCTTCTAAATGCAAATTTGAAGACTTCAAAGCTCTTGCAGACTCTTGATAAAAGGCTCATGTGTAAAGATATAATTCTGAAGTCTGCAAGCTCAAAAGAGTTTTCAAGATTTTAGAATAAAGACTGTGCTAATGTGATACCCTCATAGATTTAAAAGTTACTAAGACTGCAAATATCTGGAAGTACATTATTTGAGGTCTGTTCTCACAGAAATCACAAACCACTCGGAGCGTTTTTGATTGGTACAAATCGCCAACAACCAGTTTTTTGACCAATAAAATTCGCTCTGATAGGTTTGTGATTTCTGTGAGAATAAACCTTTGAACGCATCTACAAATAAATTATATCCTGCCCCCGGATCACGAACCCACAATTCGATAGTATCGTCCATATAAATTACATGGACGATACTATTGAATTGTGGGTTCGTGATCCGGGGGCTGTTCACAATCCGATGTGCACAGGTACAAGTAAATTTATCACCTTTTCCTATCAAATAGCATTGAAAGGTGATAAATTTTACCTGTACCTGTGGACATCGGATTGTGATTGGATAATATATTTTTTTGGATTTTGTTTTTTGGATTTTGTATACAGGGTGTCCGTTTTTCGAGGTCAACGATTGGAATACAGGACACGGTAAGAGATACAAAATCGCAATCAATGGCCAAATGTGTCACTGCTTTTGTGAGATCAAGAAACTCCGAATACAATTCATAAAAATGCAAACCTCTATTTAAAAAAATGAAGTTGATGATGATCGGCAAAAGACGAAACGTCGGATTTCAAATTTGGTTACACCATTATGTAAAGGGGAGAAAGTTGCCCCAATAAAGTGAAGTTTATTTGAAATACCTTTACAAATGAGTCCAGGAAAAAATATAAATAATTTTACAAAATTTTGATTTCCGTGTATCTCCGGAAGTACCTAGTCGGAATTTTCCAAATTTCGAAGTAGCGTTTTGTGAGGCCAAAAATTGCGCAACCTTGTCCCAATTTAACCGAACCTGTATCTCTTACCGTTTCCCACACTCCAACGATTGCTCTCGAAAAACGGACACCCTGTATATATATCAATATGTATGTATATATATATATATCAATAATTTTCTTTTTAAATAAATAGAGAAAGAGATAGTATAATAGTTTGCTATTTGCGAAACTCAATCTCCTTAATATATCACTACCTCTACAATAAACCATTTTTTTTTTTTTAATTATGGTTCAACTTGTTATTATTACTTTTGGTGGTGGGATTCCATCGAACGTGCCAATTTGCGCACACCCATCAGTACAACCAGCCATATCGGATTTACATCTACGAGCACCAACTGCATGTAGATAATACAAGATTTTGGGTTCATTATCTGAAAATCAAACAAGATTTAATTAGAAAATAACCGTGTAAACGAACAAATACCTTTATTAACTAAATGCCTAGGACTCTCTCCATTATTATTCAAAATATTCAAGTCAGCTCCAAAAACAATCAGAGCTTGTAATATGGGCAAATGTCCATGAAACGCCGCTAAATGGATAGGTCTATTGCCGTCTTTATCGGGCAAATCAACCTTGGCTTGCCGGCTTAATAGAGCCACCACACAACCCAACCTATTTCTTTCCACCATTACATGCAAGGCAGTTTTTTTTTCAAAATTTTCCGCATTTATGTGGCAATTAACGTCAATTAAGGCCTCGATCACTTGACGCGAATTGGCCCAATGCAAAGGCGTCCCGCCATTTTTCATGTCGTTTTGATACAAAGTATTTGGATGATCCTGTAAAAAATTGCCAACATATCCAGGTTCATTAAAATCTCCATCAGCTGTGGCGGTTTTATTAACGTCAGCTCCTGCTATAAGCAGTGCCTTTACACATTCTGGTTTATCAGCAAGACAAGCCATATGTAAAGGAGTATGTCCGTTTTTATTTCTTGAATTAAGACATTTAGGGGCTGAGCCTTGTGCTAAAGTCTAAAAAAATGAAACCAATAATAACTTATGAGTGTATTGAATTATTGACCTACCGCAATAATTTCTTTGGTAGTACTAGCAGCATAATGAAATACTGAATTAGCATCGTAATCTAAATGTTCCAAAGAACAATTTGCTGCTACAAGCATTTGGACTGTTTTCAAGTTGTGGGTAGTGATTGCTACTTGTAGTGGCGACATCCCTTTTTCTGTGTCACTGCTATTCAAAAAGCAATTGACTTTGGGATTGTTGAAAGAGTCGTACAGGGCGAAATACGCAGCCAGGTGGGCAAGGGTCCAAGAGGGATGATTGGCGAGGATATCGCAGATTTTTTGGAGTCCATTGATGTTACACATCTAATGAGAATTGCATTATGTAATATGTATATGTTTTAAGCTTGTTCTTACAGAAATCATGAACCTATTATAGGCGAATTTCATTGGTTGGTAGCGATTTGCACCAATCAAAAATGCTTTGACTAATTTGTGATTTCTGTGACTTGACAATCTTAAAACCTCTTACCTCTTTGGCTATTTCAATAAATACTGGCAATTTATCATGGAAAATGACAAATCTTGCTTCGGCTTCATCCAAATTGATCGATCTATATAAACTAATGAAAAACATTGTATTGTAAATCAACCAAAAATATATGTGTTACCTAAATGTTTGCACAAGTGTCTCAGTTGTAGGTCTGTGCAGTACAATTTCAAAGGCCGGTTTATCATTCTTATTTTTGATAACTTTTTGCGGCAAATACAAGACGAGTCCGTCCTCCCTTAACTGTATCTCCCTTGGAGCGAATGTGTCTGATCTGATTTCGAGAACCTTGTTCGATGGGATGTCAGAGTTCAGTAAACTCTTCAGCACTGTGAACAAAAGCTTATTTTGTTTAAATACGAATTGTAAGATCAAAGTCTAAATTATCTTATGAGATAAGATGATGGAAATAATAATACATTTATAGGTATAAATGAGATATTACATGAATTTCACAAGTTGAAATGTATTTTTTTTTTTTTGGAGCTGAGGCAACATAGAATAGATAGAACCTAAAAATTAAACAAAAAGGAAGTTCTTACCATCGAATCCAGACATAAACATCTCCATTTTGCCCGGATTTATAAATAAAACGACGACGCAATAAATTCTATTAGAATAATTAACGTCTTGAATCTCTTTGTTTTATGTTAAAATAATTATTTAATATAAACAAGTAGATATTAAATCCCATTCAAGTTTTTCACAATATGAGTAATTAGTATTTCACGGTATTTCCCTACCCATACACACAAAAAAAAATCAATTCATATTTTTCAAATCTGGGGGAAAAACCCGCTGACAACTGGCTGACAGAATGCAATGTTGCCAATTTTTATGATGGTTTTTTCGCTCTCAGAATCGATTCAGAATCGATTCTGAACTAAACATTCGGAACCCGGAACGAACTGCGAACGATATTATCCGATCAGATATACCGTGTGTAAACTGTAAAGTAAAGTACTTACTATAAGCACGCAAACGTAATAGTTATTTATGTATCAAGGGTACTAAAATAGATGATTATGCCCCGAGGGCGACAGTCTTATAAAGCCGAGGGCCTGTGGCTCGAGGGTTCGTAAGTCGCCCGAGGGCATATACAGGGTGTCCCATGGTGGATGGCGTATTAGACGTTTATGGAGAACTAAAAGGCAGATCATTTTGAAAATTTGGCAACTGGGATAACGAGTATAACGACCATGATCTACACTTTTAAAATATTTTTGTTTATGCGGTGTTGCCGTTTCTACTCAGTGGCGGTCCATACATGATTTTCTGGGGGGGGTAATGGATGACGGGAAAATCATCAAGTGTCGTAACGTACCGCCGGTGGCGCAATTTTCTTTGGAGTGCCACGCCCAAATTTGCACCCGAAAGTCGTTTAAAAAACACGCTTGGGGCAAAAATGTATCCGGATGCTGTCAAAATAGTTATACAGGGTGTCCACTTAGTGCGATATCGGACGATATCTTCTTACAGGGTGATGCAAGAAAAAAAAAATAGAAAATCAAAGTTGTTTGATTCTCTAAAGCCGTTTGCACCGAGCATTTTAAGGTAGGTTTAACGATAATCAACGTTTAAAGGGACTTCATTACATGTAAAAATGTCATTTTAAACGTTGATTATCGTTAAACCTGCTTTAAAATGGTCGGTGCAAATGACCGACACAATACAGGGTGCTCTGTAAATGGGGTATGCGACAGAAATTTGTTATTTTTAAATGGAACACCCTATATTTTAGTACGTTCTAAAAATCCTACATACTTTTTGTTAGGAATCATCATACCAAAACTCAACCGTTTTTAAAATATTTATTTAATATTTTTTCAAATAATCGCAGCTTGCATGTGTCAACAAAATTTTGCCGTGTGAAATACTCCCTCACTCCCCACAGTCCTCATACGTAAAGTGTCAGTTTAAAAACAACGGACTTTACTTACTTACATTAACTTCATGGTCCTATGAAAATCTGTTAACATTCTACAGCAGAGGGTGTTAGCAATACTGTACACAAAACCAGACATTTCAAATAACCATAGCACTGTATAGTAGTAAGTACGCAAGATTGTTTGAGAGAGGTAGGTTGCCTGATAACTTTATGACGTCATTTGGGGTGCTTCAACATAATGCAATTCTGCGTAAGGCCCCCAAATGCGTCATTAAGTTACCTATTACCAGACAACCTATGAACTTTAGGAACCTTGGTAGGTACCTACGTCGGTACTGGTGAGTCTATTATATTCATACGATGCCTTTAATCCTCTACTTTCTAGAACTTGTCTTTTGTTCAAATTGATAAATGTATAAAAAAAAAACTTTGTCTGGGGGGGTAATTACCCCCTCTACCCCCCCTTTAAACCGCCCTTGTTTCTACTCTAAACCAGTGGCAACATCGCTATTATAAATGAAACACCCTGTATATGTAATTGCATATTTGAATTCTACGTAAAATTCTGAGCAGATTTCATGGGATACCTAAGTTCAACTGTTTTGGAAATATTGACAGTTGAAAATTGACTTTTTGCAACTTTGACAGGCTGTAGAACCCGAACGGTTAATTTTAGAGAAAAACTGATTTTACATTCCTCCTATCTTATGACGTTTCCGATTGGTAGATTCAGTGCGCACTGAGTGTATTTGCAACCTTTTAATCAACCTGTAGAAGAGAAAGACAGAAATAGAAAAAATTGCACTAGTTCCGCACTAGATCTACCAATCGGAAACGCCATTAGATTTTTATAAACTATCAGTTGACACCAACTTTGAATTTAATCTATGATTAAAAATTCCAATTAAATTCAATCTCCGGTTAAATTCAAAGTTGGTGTCAAATGATAGTTTATAAAAATCTAAGATAGGAATGTAAAATCGGTTTTTCTCTAAAATTAACCGTTCAGGTTTTACAGCCTGTCAAAGTTGCAAAAAGTCAATTTTCAACTGTCAATATTTCCAAAACAGTTGAACTTAGGTATAGGGTATATCACATAAAATCTGCTCAGAATTTTACGTAGAATTCAAATATACAATTACATACAGGGTGTTTCATTTATAATAGCGATGTTGCCAGTTGCCACTGGCTTAGAGTAGAAGCGGCAACACCGCATAAACAAAAATATTTTGAAGTGTAGATCATGGTCGTTTATCTCGGTTGCCAAATTTTCAAAATGATCCGCTTTTTAGTTCTCCATAAACGTCTAATACGCCATCCACCGTGGGACACCCTGTATACCTAATCTGTTTTTTTTTTTTTAAAGATAAAGTCAAAATGACATTATGTTGGCAATACAATGTAAAATAGAAAAGGCTTGTGTTGCCAACAAAGTTACTAAATTTTTGACTTGTGGGGAATTATCTTTAAAAAAAAAACAGACTTTATTAGTACCCGTGGTGCATTGATGCATATAAACTTTTATGTTATACCAGTTGTACCATACCTGGGAAAAAAGTGTCAATTCGCAAATTGTCATCAGTGTGCAAACATCATCATTTTTTGACAGTTGTACAAAAAATATTAAGTATGTATATAAACTATAAACGTAAATTAATATTTTGTTGATAAAGAATAAGTTAATCGAGAACTGTTTTTTGTTTTTTGGGTCTTTATGCCCGTGCGGGCCATAATGTGTACTTTATGCCCGCACGAGCATAAAGTAATGAATTATATAGATGGTATCTAAGGTATAAAAACACAATAATGTATTGGTATGACATAAAATTATATATTCGTGCACTAGTGCGTAAAGCATGTCCTGTTTTTCCATTGAAAAAATGTTAGGCGGCGTTCCGTAAGTTGACCAAGATTCTTGGTTTTTCCCGTTTTTCCGGTTTCCAGGCAATCCAACGACCTGTCCAAATGGCGTCTGGTTGGCAAACAATAAACAAAAAACATATGTTTTTTTTTTTTGGCGGGATTATCAATACACGGGGCGAGTTCTCAAATCTGACACTTTTCTGACATCGTTGACATGTAACAACCCGTATTCTAACCTCATAAAAATTTTAAAATGCCGGCTGGTTGCCAAAAGTCACGTGGTTTGGATTCCCTAGGTTGTTTCGGTTTGTTTTCAATTTCTGACATTTGTTTGTTAGGTTAATTAAGTGATAATTTTTCAGTTTTTTCATTTTTCCTCTGCTTCTGAAATGTATATTCGGTGAAAATCGAACAAGAGATAAATATTTCATTCATTCATGTCGATTTCTTATTACAAATATATTTTTAAGTCATTTTAAGAGGAATATAATATTATTAGGTATATCATCTAGCATCCAAGATAAACCAGAACTGAACCAAAGCTTTCCACACATAAACCGCATTTTCAAGAACCAGGCCCCCAATAGACCTATCTCGCATGATTAGAAAAAAAGAGCTTAATTGTAATAAATACAAGTTAAAAAGCAATAAAAGATGACATGCGCGCGCAACTCGTAGGCTGCAGTGTAGCCAGATTGTATTGTTGCAGAATAAATGAAGACAATACAAATCGAATATTATAACATTAAAGAAGTGATATAGTGTCAAGTATTTTACAATGCCTTAAATCAGACAAAAAAAGAGCTTTAAAGTGGATGAACATCGTTTGCACTTTTATTTTGATAAATGTTTCGTCCGGCAACATCGCTCAATGAAATTGCAAAGGAATATGTCAAGTATAATCTTAAACGAAACTGCGGTGAGTTCAAGTAATGTGTAAAGAATTAGTTTGCTCTTTGTCAAATTACACGTTACAAAGAAAGAAGGAACGATTCATTCTGAACTGGCCCCTGAATAAGAATATGACGCAAGCCTGTCACAAACTTGCTTCTGATTGGACGCTCACCTGCAGCCTACAAGCGACGCGCGCAGTCCAGGTAATAGGAGATAGGTCTATTCTTGAAAAATTTCGCATACGAAACTTGATTCGAATTTGACTGACAGCAATGTAAATTAAATGGGAAGCGTTCGAAATCATTTCAAATTTCGAATGCGATATTTTTCAAGAATTGGGCCCCAGGGGTCGTATTTTCGAATTCATTCGAGTACATTTCGTACACGAAATTTGATTGACAGCAATGTAAATTAAATGGGGAGCATTCAAAATCGTATCAAATTTCGTATGCGAGAATATTCGAAAATACGACCCCAGACTGTCACCATAGACGAACCACCTCATAACCGATCGGTGACTCTGGTTAAAGATACGGAACGCTGCCTTTTAGGTTTAACAGTTTATCAAAGATGCAAAAAAAATCCAGTGGCGTAGCTATTGATGAGCGGGGGAGCGCAAAGCGCTGGGGCCCTGGAATATAGAGGGCCCTGATCCTGCAGGTCCCCACCTCAAAATTTAAAAAAAGTTGCAAAAATTCCTTAATAAGCTTACTTTATATACTTGCGTTTTACATTGGAGAAAGCGCGCAAAGTGAAGTTTTAATAATACTTAAATCTTAATACATGTACCATACAATACAATACCTACTTATCTATTAGCGGTAGGTACATACTACATAATCATAATAATGTTTTTTTGCTACTAACCTGAGAAATAGTCAATTTTTCTAGGAAAAAATTGAATTTCTCTCACTAGGTTAATAATGAAAATGACGTCATGACGCAAGGATATTGTCATGTTTTTATTGGTTCAATTTCAATTTCATACGTCAAATAAAAAAAAATACAAGTTTCTGTATAATATGGTTTCTGTAGGTACAGTTGCGATAAAAAAAAAAGTAATACGAAAATTATTAACCCTAATTCGATCTCCCGGTGTAACATACAAAATTTTGACAGGCAATGACATATTCTAGGTTAAAAACGGATGGAAAAATGTCAAAATAATGTCATCTGAAGCTTTCTAGGTTAAAAACTTGTCGAAAAATGCCAGAAATATGTCATTTTTGGTTGTGAATTAAATTAATGTATAATAGACCAGGAGATTTTGGAGATTTTTCTTGTACTATTTTTTTTTGATCGCAACTATACATAGGAAGTTATCATAAGCTGTTGATAGAGGACACCACTTTCAAGAAGGCGATCCAAAAAAAATAATTAGAGCACAGATTACAAATTATTCAGTTTCCTCTATAGGGGCCGGTTTCTCAATAGCAGGTCACCTCCGGGTTAAGCTAACTCCATGGTAAACATTGCAATTTGACTCGTTAACCCTGGAGTTAAAACCAACCCGGGGGTGACTCGCTATTGAGAAACCGGCCCTAGCAGTAGTAAAAAAAAAATCTAAACTGCTGGCGGTTTGGAAAAATATCTTTTAAATTACGCAAATCGCTTATTGATTTCTTCTTTGGTTCGCGTAATATTGGAATCCAAAGTTGAACTAAAAATTCCCTTGTTCCGTTTCATTTGCCCAGCAGTTTATTTCTCGGTAGAGAAAGTCATTATATAGGTACTTCACGCATCATGCATTATAAGCCTTAACGATAAGTATTCCCTAAAATGACATTTTCACATGGAGAAATGTCAGCTTAAGGCATATCTATTGTTAGGGCTTCCCTAAAATAGTTGGTGGAAATGGCCATTAGAAAAACTAAGAAGAAAACGAAAATTCAAAATCCGGAAATAGACAATATAGGTACCTATGAGATGGAAAAATTGAAAAATAAAGAATAAATAATTAATACTTAGATAATAATAATATTAATAATAATACCTGAGTAAACATCAAAAAATGTGCAAAAATATGGCGGCAGGCGCAGGGGCGTGGCTAACTTCTATATTTATATTCAAAATTTGCAAGAATATGGCGGCGGTACCGAATTTCTATTTGAAAAGGTGAAGCCACTGTAGGTGGGCCGAGGCCATTGGAAAAAGTTGAAAAGGAAACAACCAATCAAATACCTTGACGATACATAAACCCCGGAAAGGGGCGGGACTCAACTAACCAATTAAATGCCCTGCTGATATCACTTGCATCTGATTGGAAAGGGGCGGGGCCTATATCCAACCTATCAAATGCTTTGTCGATATCCTTGCGTTTGATAACGAGTCAGCCACAGTGTTGCCAGCTTGACGGAATTATCCCCTTTTTGCCTTTTTGAGGAACTTTTTTTTCTATTTTCGTTCGCAAAAGGGTAGAAGCGAAAAGCGGAATTTTTAAAGTCTGTTTTTTTTTTTAAAGATAAAAGTCAAAGTGACATTAGGTTTTAAGTTTCTAGCACACGATATACAATATACAGAGTGGGCCATGGAACTTAAGACATTATTGAACTTTTGTTTTTCAAAAACGCGCCATTTTCGAGATATTGAAATGTCTCAATTTAAATGGACCACCCTGTATAAGTATGGGTACAACATCCCATTCCCGACTGTAAATGATCGCGCAATAATTGTTTTTTTCCACTACCGCGCGTAAAGTAGGTACTTACGTGACGCACCTTTTAGAAGACATAAAATGTCACGCACCAGTGCGTGAGGTATTTTTTTTACTACTAACTTGAGAAGTAGTCATTAGGTCTGTTTCTGCAGAAATTACAAACCAGTCAGAGCAAATTTCATTGGTAGAAAACAGTCAGAAAACTAGTACCAACCAATAAAATTCACTCTGACTGGTTTGTGATTTCTGCAGAAACAGACCTATTATCAAAGGTCGGTATCGATATTTTTGATCTAGTATATCGATAGTTCAAAGACATCGATATTGCATTGTTGCCAACTCTTAATTTTGATATCCCTTTTGACAGCCTCGTTGTTGTCGCTCTTTTAACAGTTTCAATTAAACCACAAGTATTTTCCACATTTTCGATTGATTTTCCGGCAGTTTTCCATAAATCAAGCAAAAAATATTAACGAAAAATGAATAACGAGGAGTACGAGCAGGTAAAATTAATAATTAAGACCCTACATACGCCATAAATTTAAGAAATTTCCCACACATATAGGTTAACCATTTGCTTGTACCCCTACAAAAAACCTTCCCAATTAACTAAAATCTATCGATAAACCACCTACCTGCATGCTTAGCAGGAACCAATCCCATTATAAACTAAAAAACACATTTTCACTTGACATTATCTGACAACCATTCACCAGCCACTATAATTTCAATTTATTTTTCAGAATTACGAGTACAACAACTACAATGAGTACGAGGGTCATACAGGAGACCCCACCCTGGACGCGGAATTCAGCCGCCAACAATTCAAAATTCCTGAAACCGTGAAGAATTTCCTGGTTTACTTCAGGAACAACGTCAACGAGGGATTGGTATTTGAATTGCAGTCTTTGTACGAACTTTCTTGGCCTAAACTGACCGAGGACTACTTTGAAAAGAGGCCGTGGCCTGAAGAGAGCGAAGTTGCTGAAATTGTTGACGCTGATCCTGTAAGACTTACCTTCTCCACTTTTGTTACAAATATCTTGCAATTTCCCTTTAACCAAATCACTTCTATCTTTAACTTTTTCACGCATTTCTTCTGATTTGTTTAATAATTGTTGCTTGTAATGATCCATTTTTCAATACACTAGCAGCAAAACTTATTATGTAAAAAAATTATTGATTCGAGCAACCCTGTTGTTTGACCTTAATGAAGGCTTTCTTTTAAATTATAAATTATAATCAGAGCCGTACTTTATTAATTGTTTTTCAATAGGTGTTTATGATTCTCTACAAAGAACTCTACTTCCGTCACATTTATGCCAGAATCCAAGGTGGCCCAACTCTGGAGCAACGTTTCAACTCTTTTTTCAACTATTGTGATTTGTTCAACTACATCCTCAGTGCTTCTGAGCCTGTTCCTCTAGAATTGCCCGACTTATGGCTCTGGGAATTAATTGATGAATTTGTTTATCAATTCCAGGTAAGAATTACTTTATACTTTACTTAGCAGCAAATAAAAACCAATTTTCTTTTTCAAGTCTTTTGCTCAATATAGGGCCCGCCTTCAAAAGAAAACCACTGAAGAATTGGAAATGTTGAATTCCAACAATAAAGTATGGAATGTTTTGTGTGTTTTGAATGTTTTGCATTCTCTGGTTGACAAAAGTAACATAAAACAGCAGCTTGAAGTTTATGCAAGAGGTGGCGATCCTGATTCAGTTGCTGGTGAATTTGGCAGTCATTCTTTGTACAAGATGTTGGGTTATTTCAGTCTTGTGGGACTTTTGAGGCTTCATTCTCTTCTTGGGGACTATTATCAAGCCATTAATGTCTTGGAAAACATTGAAGTCCACAAGAAATCTCAATACGCTCATATTCCAGCCTGTCAAATTTCTACTTCTTACTATGTAGGGTTTGCTTATATGATGATGAGAAGATACTCAGATGCAATAAGGACTTTTTCAAGTATTTTGTTGTATATTCAACGCACTAAGCAACTATTTGCTTCAAAAACTTATCAGCACGATCAGATTAATAAGCAAACTGATCAAATGTATCATTTGTTGGCTATATGCTTGGTGCTCCACCCTCAATGTATTGATGAAAGTATTCAGCAAACCTTACGCGAAAAGTCTTACCACGAAAAAATGTACAAAATGCAATATGGAGACTTGCAAGAGTTTGAAAACAGCTTTGTGTACGCTTGCCCTAAGTTTTTATCCCCTTGCCCTATTCCAATTGGTTCAGTACCAGATGATTATTCAAAAGAAGCCATCGTCCATCAAACTCAAGTATTCATGGATGAAGTCCAGCAACAAAAAATGCTGCCAACCATTCGTAGCTACTTGAAACTCTACACCACTCTGCCGCTGAATAAATTGGCCACATTCATGGCCCAAAATAATAGAAACGACAGCCAATGGGATTTGGACAAAGAGACTCAAACTTTGTTGATTCATCTTTTGGCTTTCAAGCATAAAATGAAGAACATGGTTTGGTCCAAGGGAGCTTCTGGATTGGAAGGGAAATTCCAGAGCGGATCCGAATTGGACTTTTATATTGATAATCATATGATTCATATTGCTGACACCAAAGTGGCTCACAGATATGGAGACTTCTTTATTAGGAAAATTTTGAAGTTTGAGGATATCAACAGGAAACTTCACATGATTAGGATTTGAATGAGGTTTTGATTTGTATTTTGAAATCTTTATTAAATGAAGGTTTTTGATGAAGAGTAAAACATGTGTTTTTGTTTAATCCAACCGGGCTGCATTCAAAAACGGCTAAAGCCAAGCCAAAATTGGCATATTGGGTTCAAGTTTGGCTCCAGCGTGCCAAAAACGGTTGGCTTTACACGTTCAGAATCGGCCGCGGTAAAGTAACTTTTGGAGGTGCTTTTAACTGAGTCTAGAAATGGTTATACGAATTTTGATTGGATGAGACCAAATTCAATATGGCGTGGCGGCCAGCAAGTTAGTTTTGAATATGTGTTTTCATGCATATTTCAATTATGTTGCTTCGAGTTTTGCTTGCAGCTTTGATTTTGATTATTCAATAAAATATTTGTAGGTACGTAAACTATTGAGTTGGGCAGAAACCAGATATTTTTTTGTGTTTTTTCGTCCATGTGTGGGCGCCACGCCATCTTGAATGATTTGGTATTGCCGGTAGAAGGGGAAAAGTAGGTTTTGGCATTAGCATTGCCGTCTTTGAACGCACTCTCGGTGACCTTTTGTCAATGAACTATAAACTACACGTACCTGGAATGGCCCGCCGATCCATAAATTTGCGGCAAATTGAGATGCAGAATGTGGAGTAAACCTATCTCTATTTATCTTATCGGCGAATTATGGAAATCTTTCTTTGTCTAAAAAATAATATATTTGAGGTTAGGAATATACCAAACCTAACAGCAATGAACTGGAGAGAGAAAGGAATCCCCCACTATGTAGCTTTTTTGGACGCACTAAGCGAGATGACAAATGCCATATGCGACAACAGTCGCTGCCATTCCAGATACGTGTAGTTTATAGTTCATTCCTTTTGTTTAGACGCCATATTGCGGTGCGCGAACATAGTTGCCAAAAGAAGAAAACAAAAATGACTAGCAGGCTGTCAACATTAAAAAACAAAAGTAACTAAATACTAAATGATTGATCCTCACTATCCTTTTTATTTGTTTACTTTCTCTCTCTGATTCAGAAGATATAGTTGTAACGTTTGTTGTTTTATTTAACCCAGTATATTTAAATTATTTACCTATCAAAAGCCTGCTAAACGCAGTCAACCAGTTAAACTGTCAGAGACTCTTGAGAGAACAGACCTATCATTGGACGAATTCGTCAACCAATTGGTGCATCGCAAAAAAATACATATAAAAATATTCATTAAATAAATAGCGTTTCTTTTTTAGTTTGTTTTTTTTTTTCATTTTTTTTTTTTTTGTTATACAGGGTGTCCCACGGTGGATTGCGTATTAGACGTTTATGGAGAACTAAAAAGCGGATCTTTTTGAAAATTTGGCAACCGGGATAAACGACCATGATCTACACTTTAAAAATATTTTTGACCATGCGGTGTTGCCGCTTCTACTCTAAACTAGTGGCAACATCACTATTTTAAATGGAACACCCCGTATTAAATTGCATATTTGGATTCTACGTAAAATTCTGAGCAGATTTCATGTGATATACCCTATACCTAAGTTCAACTGTTTTAGAAATATTGACAGTTGAAAATTGACTTTTTGCAACTTTGACAGGCTGTAGAACCTGAGCGGTTAATTTTAGAGGAAAACCGATTTTACATTCCTATCTTAGATTTTTATAAACTATCATTTGACACCATCTTTGAATTAAATCCATGATTAAAAATTTCAATTAAATTTAATCTCCGGTTAAGTTCAAAGTTGGTGTCAAATGATAGTTTATCAAAATCCAAGATAGGAATGTGAAATCGGTTTTCCTCTAAAATTAACCAATTAGGTTTTACAGCATGTCAAAGTTGCAAAAAGTCAATTTTCAACTGTCAATATTTCCAAAACAGTTGAACTTAGGTATAGGGTATATCATATGAAATCTGCTCAGAATTTTACGTAGAATCCAAGTATGCAATTTAATACGAGGTGTTCCATTTAAAATAGTGATGTTGCCACTAGTTTAGAGTAGAAGCGACAACACCGCATGGTCAAAAATATTTTTAAAGTGTAGATCATGGTTGTTTATCCCGGTTGCCAAATTTTCAAAATGATCCGCTTTTTAGTTCTCCATAAACGTCTAATACGCCATCCACCGTGGGACACCCTGTATTAGGGCGGCAAACCTTAAAGGCCCAGGGCGCCAAATTTTAAAATACGCCACTCTATTTACCCAAAGAATTCTGGATGGACAGTTGTTTTTTAGTGTATCAGTATGTTTTTTTTTTGTTGAATTGTTTATTTAAGTTTGTGAATGGTATTATTCTTTGCAATAAAAAAAATGTCCAGAATTTATACCGTATGTCGATCCTGATATTTTATTGCCCTTGTCCAGAAAAAAGAAAAAATAAAGTTGGCAACCCTAGAAGCAATGTCAGGAAAAGAGCGAATTTCGCGGTTATGAGCACCAGGCTTGAGAAAGGAAACCGAAATTTGGTAAAGTGAATAGGTAGATATTTTATCGTTTCTATTCTGCCCAATACAAGTTAAAATTGATGGCTTTTCTTTTCAAAAATATTCGTAATAGGCGGTAAATTTAAATTTTAAATGTAATTTATTCAGTAACTTTTGTTTTTAATGTTGACAGTACGCTAGTGATTTTTTTTTCTACTTTTGGCAACTATGTTCGCGCCTACTGGGATAAGAATCGCTGAAAATTTCAGCTTTCTATCTACAGTGTGCGCCATAAAGTTGGGTACAATATGGGAAAATTCTTAATTATTCCTTTTTTCAAAAAACTTTTTTTGGGGATCGTTTAGGCATGTTCGATAACCAAAAAATCGATTATGACACATGTCATGCGCATATCGGTTAAGCGGGAATTTTGAAAAAAGTTGAGTTTTGAAAAAAGAGCTGAGGCCTAATCCTGTTCTACCTTTGAATATAAAACTACAGGAAGGAGCGTTGTCTATCTGTAAGGGAGGATTTTCATGCATCCGTTTTTCCGACGAAATATGTCCGTTTAACATTCTATTCTGACATAATCGTATATAAATATTTCAAAATAGAAGACTTTTCGGACATATTGTCACGAAACGTCACTCACTGCTTCGCTGTGTAGCTCGACTATTCACCCTGAAAAGCAGAACGGGAAGGGAGGAGTAACAGGGAAACACCAGAACAGTTTTAAATAGCTAATATATATTGTTACAGGACGGAGATTACGGAAACATGAATATTTAGTTATTACCACATCATCGTCATCTGGGACCAGATAACGTCCCTTCGGGCTCAAAAAAGGGAGGACAGTCAAACGTCGGGTATACCCAAGAATCGTAAACTCTACAGGATTGCTCAATCCCATAAGACAAACGTTCATAAAAATATCGAAGATGGCGGTATGCGAATGACGTCACGCAGTCCTTGATCGGTTTGTGTTTTTTATGACAGTGCACTATCCTTGCATTTTCAAACGTGAAAAATTGTTGTTTTGAGGTTATTTCCTTTGAAAACTGTATTTTGTAATTAATTTATTGATTTTAAAATTAGCAGACTTCAAAAGCTTGTGTCCTTGAGGCTTGAGTGGTTGGCTAATTGCTAATTAGAAAGACGAGTTTGTTTGCTTTTGTTTACCAATTAGCCAAACATATTGCCAAAAAGTCAAAAAAACGAAGGGCTGGAGTCAAGCTGGCCCCCGGATTCGTTTCAATGTTTTTTTTTGTGTATGAAAATGAGCACAATTCGCATAAATACTGGCACAATTGAGCACAAAACGGGCACAATTGACTACAGTTGAGAAACAGTAGAAAACCAAATGTGGGGTGCCGAGCCGGTTTAATTTTTGCATTTCAATATCAAAATATAAGCGAAACGGGGTTGCAATAGTGTGCTTTATTTTTTACTGACCCTACCTAGGTACTTCTCAATTATTATTCATTAATTTAATAGGTACTAGAACGATTTAATATGGACATTCAAAGTGAGCTTATTTCACAAAGCCAAATAGTGATACCTAATTTAGATTCTCATAATCATATTCCAGAAAAACATTGCAAGTTTCCCATATTTTCCATGCGTTTTCATAGTAAACGCGCCAGTAAAGGAATTTATTTACATATTTATTTATTCACTCTTCACAAACCCTAATTTTTATTAGTAATTACATGCAAAGGAAACTTACAACTAAGTAGATATTTGATTTATAAAAAAAAAGCAAAACAAATGCTTGACTAGGAAATACTAACTAGCAATATACACAAATAAAAGAGCGATTTCCTGATACAACAAATCCAGTATTATAAAACCAGAAAATGCTTGGGGTTTTCGCGAGTATTTTCAGCCACGAGTTTTTTATGCTTACACACATTAAATGAAACTTTAAATTTACACTTATAACACTAGATAAATCCGAATTTACGATAAAATAGTTGTCAGCACAAACTAAACATCATTCGTATCAGCGGCCATCTTGAAAATCCGGCATGCGCGTGACGTCACAGCAATTGTGAACAAATTTAGCCGATTGAGCAATCCTGTAGAGTTTACGATTCTTGGGGTATACCCCTGCAAAGCTAAACAACCAAACCAGCCCTACAGGAAAATCTAGAAAGCCTTTTCACTGTAGGTCAAAGCCTGGGTCGTCGGAGAGTATCTGCCCTGATAGAGATACGATAGCGAATTAACTTTATCAGTTCAGATAGTTCCCCAACTTTGAGTCGTCTCTAAACACCTACTGATTGCAGCGAAGCGCTGAGACACGACTAATTTGCCATAGTGTGACCCGGGCTTTTATTATAGCCCGTGGTCCCATGTAGGGTTGACGGAAAAACGGATGCATGAAAATCCTCCCTCACTACAAACAAAAAAGGGACGGAAGCGGCCATATTGAGCCTCCAAGTTTGACTCATCATTTGTTTTGGTGGTTCGTTGTGTCCTCATTCAAGTGGATGTTTAATGGATTTTAGCGGTTTTAAGTGATAATAAGCACTGGGATTAGTGCGAAAAGAGTGAGTCATAATACTGACAATTAAGGCTGGTTTATAGTTCCAACCTTTTTCCGTTTCTTTAACCTTATCCGTATCTTTAGCGTTTTCTTTTTCCTTAAGGAAATGTTGTGTTTATAGATTGGTTTTTAAATTTATCCATAACCCTTAAGAATGACATATATGACTTTTAACAGGTGATCATAACACAAACACAAAACAACTGATTTTTTTGTTCTATTCAAAATCTATTTTTGAGCTGGCGTAAGTAATGATTATCGAGAAGAAAAAAACAATTATTGTAGGAATACTGTATTTTTTTTATTAATCCACAATCCACAATCCACTATAACCACAAAACCTATAACCATAACATAACCTAGAACTTGTTCGGTGTAGAAAAAAAATCAAAACATGGATGCCAAAAATTTTCCTGCAAATTACGCATGCGCATCCGGATATTTCTTTATCTTTAACCGTAGAAGTTAAATATTAATTAACTTTCAAGGATACGGTTTAAACACTACGGAAAAGGAAATAGTATAAACACTCAAATTCTTTTACACGCTTTTTAACTCTAACGGTTAACGATAAATCTACGGAAAAGGAAAAAGCTTTGAACTATAAACAGGCCTTTATATTTAAATAAATATACGCCACTGCCAAACCGGAAACACTAGTCGGCCATATGCAACCTCCACAGGTCTCGCAGATTCCAGGGTTATGTTCCTTCCTGTTGTTTTAAGGCGGTTACACACGGACGTGGATGTCTAAAAACATGTACGCACATACATGAACGCTCAAACAAAAACATCAATGTGTATTGTTCGTCGATTTTAATCTGATACTCGGACGGAATGTGAGCTGGTGGCTCCCTACATTAGAACGCCAATGGTTACCTGACGTCACACCTGGTTTTGCCATATGAAACACCCCTTCGCTCCTCATACCGCAAGTATCAGTTAAAAATCGACGAACAATATGCAAAATAACGTCGCGTTTTTGAATGTGCAATTTTGTATGCACACTCGGAATACTGTGGCAAGTGGCAAGAATAGCAAGACTGCAGTTTTGTGCGAGCGTCTGTACAAACACGACATGCACGTTGTTGTTTGCACGTTGATGTATGCACGTATATGTATCCAGACATCCACGTCCGTGTGTAACCGCCTTTATATTCAAAGTGTTCTACGCAATAGCTCTGTTCCAAGCGACATAAAAACCGTTCTAGAACGGTTATTTTCATTCAATGACCTTTTCCAGTCGATCAATTCATTTGGCAAGTAGGATAAACGTTCAACTTGAAAAATAGGTTGGCGACTGGAAATTACTAGTTCTGGAACGGTTCTCATGTCGGTTGAATTGGTTGAAACAGAGCTAATGTGTTATAAGCAGAGATTCGCATTCGCAGAACTGAATTCTTGACAGGATGCAGCCCAATTTCTGATCCAGAGCAGATTTATTATGGCCGTGTACCGTATCCTGTATCCTTTCCTATGATTGACCCAGAAATGACAGTCGTCATGACAATAAAAACAAAAACATAACCTCAAACATTATCAAAAAATGTTTCATTCATTAAAATTTCAGTAAAAAAATTTAATAAAATGTGCACAAAACTCAAACTCTACATCGGCCGCAAGGTAAACACTCAATTAGCAATAAGTAACCTAAAATACACCCCTTTTTGTGATGTAAAACTTCTCTATGCACTGTGTAAAGTAAGTTTGTTTCATGCGAATTGCTACGTAACAAAAACATGCAACGCTATACCGTGTGTTTAAAGAAGTTTCACTTCAGTATAATTACACGTTGTATTTTCTTCATAGATCATTGATTCCTTGGACAAATCTACAAAATTTTCCCCTACCCATCTTCAAAATCTCATTCATGTGGGAAACCCCGAAGAAAAGGGCAAAACCGAACTAAACCTACCTCTAAACATACTCGAAACCCATTTAGGCATAACCAATGTCAACCACATATTAAAAATCCAACCAGATGACATTATCAAAAGAGTCCAACTAGTCCGAGACAGAGCCAACAGGAAAATCTCTTTCGAAATCGACCCTACAATTTTCGTAAATGACGTCATGGAAAACTGTTTCTTACCAGAAACCAACTTTAAACCGAGAAACATTGTAGTAGATTTTGGTTCACCAAACGTAGCAAAACCGGTTCATTATGGTCATTTAAGATCTACAATAATAGGGAGCTTTTTGAGCAACTTGAATATTTTTATAACAAATAACGTTACTAGGCTTAATTACTTGGGGGATTGGGGCACTCAATTCGGCTTTATTAAAGTAGGCATCGATTTGTTAAACTACAACATGGAAACGCTTAAAAATGATCCAATAAAACTACTTTATCAGTCTTACGTGCATGCTAATAAATTAGCTGAAAAAGACCCTACAGTATTAGAAAAAGCTAAAGCTGAATTTGTAAAGCTTGAAGAAGGTTCAAAAGACGAAATCGCACATTGGAGACAAATTTTAGATTTCACTATTGAAGAACTAAAAAAGACTTATGAAAGATTAGGGGTTAAATATGACTTGTACAATTCTGAGTCTATGTATAGCAATAAAGAAATTAGTAGTATAATTGAAGTATTAAGAAAAAAAAATATTTTAAAAAAACTAAAAGATGGCAAAGAGGTTGCAGAAGTTGGCGACAGGAAAGTTTCCCTAATCAAAAGCGACGGAACCTCTTTGTACCTTACCAGAGACATAGCAGCTGCAGTAGATCGTTTTCAAAAATTCAAATTTGATAAAATGTATTACGTTGTTGAAAACGGACAAAGTGACCATTTCAATGCCCTCAAAAGCATCATCAATAAAATGGACTTACCATGGGCAGATAGATTAGTACATGTTAAATTTGGCCGAGTCAAAGGCATAAGCACCAGAAAAGGCACTGCTGTATTTTTAAAAGACATTCTAGACGAGTGCAGAGATTTGGTTGTCAAAAGACAAATTGAATCTCCTAGTAAGTATGATTTTGGTAATGTTTGTATTTATTAATGTGGCTAGGTGTTTTAAGCTACCAAAGTACCGATAACTGACGAAGCGACTTCGGATATTTTGGGTATCAGTTGTGTGATTATAAACGATTTGAAACAACGGAGGCAAAAGGACTATGATTTTAATTGGGATAGGATTTTGCAAGTGAGAATTTTTTACTTTTGGTTTGCATTGAAAATTCAAATTAAAGCATTTTTTCTATTATTGATTTGAAAATCGATTTTTGACATCCTTCCTTTGATTCGTTAAATGAAAAGTGGATTTTTTTTTTGAAATTTCCTGGGAATATTTTAGAGAATAAAATTTCATGGGGATTTACATTGTTCTGATATTTAGAGATTTCAATTATTCAAGAGAGTAGTCACTGTGGAAATTTTTTGTCTTGCGGATTGGAGATCTGTAGAAATCCATGGGTATCCGGTGAAAATACTTTGAAATCCACTAGAAATCAGGTGGAAATACGTGGAGTTCCAAAAACTTCGACTGCACTTGTGTAAAATCGGAAAATCGTAATTGCAGTGCACATCATTTTAGCTGGAGTGTTTATTCAGATACATGGAGATCCATAAAAATCCAAATGATCTGCATGAAGATTCAAGGATATGTTTGGAGATCTCAGAATATTTCTGGAGATTTAAGGATAGTTATCCAAAGAGATCTATGCAGTTCCAAGAAGATTTTCACAAATGGAAATTTTCTGTTCTAAAAAGTCACATGTGACAACCTTCGAGAGGGTAATCACTGTAATATGCCTAGAGATCCCAGGATATCTTTGGAAATCTATGAGAATCTATGGATTTCCAAGATCTCCACAAATGGAGATTTTTTCTCCTGAGAAACCGCAAGTGACCAACACCTCGTTTAAACCCTATAAAGAACAAGTTTATTCCCAAAACCAAATTAAAGGAAATGCAAATTTTTTTGAAAAACTCTATTCTAATCGATGCTACTTTTGCTCAAATATCTTTGACACGTTTTAATGAAACTTTCTTTAAGGTAAAAGGTGATACAGGTATCAAACTTCAATACACTCACTGTAGATTGCACAGCCTAGAATCAAATTCTAGTGCCATAGCTGCCACAGCTTGTATCCCCGATATACTCATGGAAGAAGACGCAATGGTACTGATAAAAGAAATGGCCAAATTCCAAGATATTTTACATATGGCCAACGAACAAGTGGAAGCATGCGTTCTTGTCAACTATTTATTCCATTTATGGTAAGAACCTCTATTAATAGTAAATCATTTTAAATTATTTATGTTTAGCAATCATATAAATCGAGCATTGAAAACATTAAAAGTAAAAGGAATGGACTCAGAAGTAGCTTCACAAAGACTGTTGCTTTTCAACACTGCCAGGGAAGTACTGAAAAACGGGATGAGCGTATTGGGACTGAAACCTTTATCTAAAATGTAATAGAAGTAGTAAAACAAAATCCAAGCAAAATATTTATTAAAATGCAAATAACTTATACAATAATTAATTATATTTAACACGGAAGTTGCTGATTGAAGCAATTTGTGTGCTAATTTTAATTTATACAAAAATAACAAGTAAAATAATTGTTTTATTCTAAAAAAAAAAACAAGACAACATAATGGTTCGTAAATCATAAATAACACAATATTTAAAAAACAATATTTTCCCATTAATGTATCTTGAGACATAATACAATTAAAATTGTGTATAAATTTGATAATTGAAAGGCACTCAATTAAATAAAGAAACAAGAAAAAATAAGGATAATTTTTTCTTTCGATAACCGTACAATTCCACAAAGTCAAAAAAAAAAATAAACCATTCAGTCCATAATAAATTACATAAATCTTTTTATTTATTCATTACTAGTTTCGTGCAAATCAAAATCTCACGAATTACTTTCTGTAAATTTGAATGATGCGGGAACGGCTTGTTGAGTGAAAATGTAACCTAAGAGAAGACACAAATTAGATTGCAATAAGAATAATACAAAAAATCAATTAATTTATTGTACCACTTACATACCTCCCTGCTGCTCAATTCTTTTACTTTCCCTAGCCGCGGCTCTTTGTTCAGCTAAAACTACAACTTCGCCCAACGTTTTTAATTGTTGCTCGTTTAGGTTTGTAGTTAGGGCTGCGTACCATTCAGGATCTGCTACTTGTAGATCTAGAAATACAAATATTACACATTATTTGTATTTTCAGGATTTGGATTTTAAAACCATAGTAAAAAATATTGAAGTTTATCCTGAAAATTCTTACTTGTCATAGTTTGTTTGAAAGCTAAATATTCGTCTACTTCACATTCTTCATCGTCCAAAGGCGTGGTGTAAGCCTCCAAAACGGTTTCTTCGGTTGGTTCGAAATCTGAATCTTCATCCTCTGAATTGTCTTCGATGTCGTTTATCGTTGCAGAAACGTTCATGCCTATAGTTGAATTGTAAATTTACAAAATCAAAAACTAAATTTTTCAAAAATGTCTTACCTGCGTTTTCACCAGCAGCCATCGTTTTTTTCGCTAACGATTCTAGATAATCTTGTCCTTGGTCGTCAAGTTCATCTTCATCAGAACTTAAAATATCTATAAAATGTAAGAAGTTAAATTTTATGATATTAGTAAAGATGTAGAAATAATTATTACCTTCTCCTATTTCCCCATCTTCACTATCGCTTTCTTCTTCTTCTGCTTCAGCTTGCGCCTTGGCAGCGTAAGCCCTTTTCAGGCCGTCAAACAATAGTATTAGGGAAGGGACTACTTTTGGTGCCATTTCTATTAGAGCTGGGGGTTTTTGGCTCATACCTTTGACAAGGAAATATTGATTTTATTTTACATATTTCAATCCTAATAATTGCTATGAGCAAATGTAAAGGTGATTTGAAATTTTTCAATAATTGGAAAAGTTCTTGCATCAATTAAACAATGGGTTAGAAAAGAACTTTATATTTGTAAGGAAAATAAAAAAGGTCTCTTTCTAATACATGGTTTCTTATGACAAAAACCCAAATAATTTTTTTCTCGAAAACGGTTAGAGATAAACCTATCGAACTTTATATCATTAAAATCAGAAAAATCATAGCTCTTCAATAAGCTATTAATATAAAGGGTGTCCCATTGAAAAAAATCAGACCTTGGTCAATATCTCAAAATCGGCGCCAAATAGAAAAAAACTAAGAACATCACTGAATTCTGCTTAAAAAAGTGCTTCCAGAAAGTTTGAACGGAAATCAATAATTTTCATAAACAAAAAAGTTATGAAGGATTCACAATATTGCTCAAAATCGAGAATCGCCCTCTAGCGGCTAAACGGTTGAAGATATCAAAAAGCGGTTTGCACCAATCAAAATTTCATGAAATTTGAGCCTCAGATTGGGGGGTTCATTTTTTTCTATCTCTAAAAATAAAGGGTGTTTCCATAAGGAAGTGGCCCACCCTGTACAGTTTTGGCTAAATTTTTAGAATCCATGGTTAGAAACAAAAATTGAATGACAGAAATGTAAAATGTTGCATGCTTTCAGCTATTTTCAAATGGAATGCCCTATATTTGGTTCTATATTCTGGAAGAGCACAATTTCCCAATTCCAAAAATATATATATAATTTGTCTATATTTGGTTGCGCCGTCTCCAACATATTTGGTTCCAAAAATCTTAAAAATACTATCACAGAAATGAAGTATGTCAAATTTTACTTGCAACCTACACCTGTACAGGTAGAATGGTTCACAATAGTACATTATATACCTAGGTAAAGAAGTTGATCATTATATATCAAGCGCTTTTATAAACCAAGGCGCAAAGCGCCAAAGTTTATAATGACTTCCTCTACCGAGAAGTATATAGATTTTTTTTTTAAAATCATTTAGTAGAATAGTATTTTCACAATTTTTGGAGCCGAATATATAGAGACTGCTCAACCAAATTAAAACGCAAAGAATCTAGTGAACATTCGTTACAGTTGTCAAAACAAAAAAATTAAAAGAAAACAAAGGAGGGAAAAACATTGAGGTGACAGAGGTCAGTGTCGCAGCCAGGGGGCCCGGGCCCCCCCCAAGGCTTCAGAGAAAATAGAAAAATAATGGAGATGAAGTAGACAAAAGCTGTAAACTGCTCATATCATAAAAAGCTTATTGGGTGTAAACCAAAAAAACGTATCTGGTTTATAATATGTAGAAAAACTCCAAGAACAACATCGAAAACCTCGCCTTTCTGCCAAATTTCTATCGAAAGATATGTCTTTAAACGTGACGTCACATTCGCGTGCGGAGCCCAACAGATTCTGCTTTTGTGTATGTACCATCGTCACCAAAAGTATCTGGGACACAAATAATGCATAATAATCTCCTGGACTAATTCTACTGTCATTCATTTCAATGCATTCAATTCACAGTTTGACAAATATTTGACAATAAAATTCATATAATAGGACAAGAGCTAATGTGATGCTGTCCCAGTTACTTTTGGTACTAGTTGGGGAGCTGGCGTCAAAAACATGCAAGAGTTTTCGCAAGGCGGATATTTTCAAAATAGGTCGTACTTTAGTGCTAGAATGCTAGTGTACAGTCAGCAGCCACAGTTCCGGGACAGCTGGCTCTGGGACGCGGGCAAAGTTGTAATTTTAAGAAGCATCTAAACTGTTTTCTCAAAGCTCAAAATTTATAGAAATTTTGCACATTATCTGTTTTAAGGTCACAGATAACGTATGTAAATCGTCAGACGTCTAGTTCGTTGCAAAAAGGGGGTCAGACGTCCTCAAAGTTTTTATTTTATGGCATTTTCTTCAAATATATTTGTCAAATACCTGCAAAAATATATTCTGACAGGACACCGAAGAAAATGCCATAAAATAAAAACTTTGAGGACGTCTGACCCCCTTTTTGCAAGGAACTAGACGTCTGACGAATTACATACGTTATCTGTGACCTTCAAACAGATAATGTGCAAAATTTCTATAAATTTTGAGCTTTGAGAAAACAGTTTAGATGCTTCTTAGAATTACAACTTTGCCCACGTCCCAGAGCCAGCTGTCCCGGAACTGTGAGTGCTGACTGTACACTAGCATTCTAGCACTAAAGTACGACCTATTTTGAAAATATCCGCCTTGCGAAAACTCTTGCATGTTTTTGGCGCCACCTCCTGGACTATACATACTTTGGTTCAAAACCAAAGCCAGGGTTTCGTTTCAAATATTCGAGTCAACCCGTATTTAAGTGAGAATCGTAGGATTTTTTTACTCCGAGTCTACGGTATTCGAGCGGTTGTGACGTCACGCTTCCACGGTTAATTTGCAAATATCTCAAAAACCGTCAGGCATAAAATGGTGCGGCTTGAAATATTATTCTTATAGAATTTGTTATACAGAAATTTTGATTTTTGGTTTAAACCCCCTCCAAAGGATAGGTGGTCTGTATAAACTCCTATAATTTTTTCTGCATGGCCCCCTCCAGACAAAATTTCTGGGTGCGCCACTGACAGAGGTTGTCAAAAAAGATTATACCACAAATTATTCGGCCGTATTAGCATCAATATTGTGGTCTATTTTTTTTTATTTTCTCAGTAATTATTGTTTTTTCGTTAATAGACGTGCGTTACAGTGCAGTGGTGGGATAAATACCTCTATCTCCGAAGATATTTGGGACAAATTAGTGATATTTGATGATAAAAAATGGGCAAAGATAAAAGAATGCGTTATTCAAGCAGCTCATCTTCGTCAAGTAACGATACTACACTTTTTTCCCAAGATAGATTTTGACATTGAAAACTTTGAAACATAAACAATAACGCTTAACCCTGATTGGTCGCAAAATGAGGTGTTTCTGCAGGTTGACATCAGTTTCACTTTGGCTACGTTCACCAGAACCAAAACGGATTGTAAACAGTTTACAAATACCAACAGAATATGTTGGGTAAACTCTTGGTTCTGCTGAACGATTCAACTTTTCAATGATAGAACGTCACCTTCTGAATGACAGGTCACCACACAAAACACAGTGTTGAAAATTATAAACACTCTGAAATTAGGCTTGCAAAAATGGCGACCGGTTGCAAAACATGTTTGGTTTTAACACAAATTCAACATAGCGTTCAGCAGAACAATCGCAAACCGTTTACCAACGTTTGTATCTGGTGAACGCGGCCAATAACGACCAATAAGTGGCATTAGCGGCATTGTTTATGTTTCAAAGTTGACAATGCCAAAATCTACCTTTGGAAAAAATAAACTATAGTTCCTCTACTGAAACTGAATGTGCTGAGCGTTATATTAGGAAAAAGCACAGAGCCAAAACTGTAAGTACATTGAAAACGGATAAGTACTCTAAACAAAAAAGACATTGTGGCCAGCGGTTTGTGGAGTCTGCTATTGGTGCAAACGTTGCACAAGACAGTATCTCAACTTTACAAACATACGAAAATCAGCCCCAAAAACGCATAGCCTAATTAGAGGAGTTAGTTAATACACTTTTGCAACAAGATACCTAATGTAGTGTCTATCCGACCAGATTGTATTCCTGAAATTGATCTGAATGATAGGAATAACAGTTCGGCTGTCCCATGTAGAAACACAGTAACTGACATTTTTTGAAAAAATGTGATTTCCCAATTTTTGTAGTTACTGGGTACCATTTCACATAATTCGCTATTAAAATTGGTAAAAACTCAAATATTTAAACATATTTTGTTAGAATAAAACACAGTAACTATCTCATTCAAGCTAAATAATCTAGATTAAAACACAGTAAATGCCAATATCTGTTATTAAACCCAGTAACTGCTTCACAGTTACTGTGTTTCTGAGTGGTAAATGCACTTACTGAAAAGTTCCAATAATATTTTTGAATTTTTCCTACTCAAAAACACAGTAACTGAAAGCATTTGCAGTTACTTTGTTTTTTGTAGGAAAATTAAAGTATTTTTTGTGATATAGTCACAAAGTATTGGATTTTACTGTCTTTTTGCTTAGGATTTAGATGAATATATTTCTGAAATAAAAACTGTGAGTGCTCTTACTATATTTAAATTTGGAAAAATGGTATTATTATCCCAATAGAATTTCACAGGTAAAGTAATTACTGCGTTTTTGATGTTAAAACCGCAGGAAATAAGTAATTTTACCACAAGGATTAAATGTTTAGCAGCTGCAGTTACAGGGTGGGGATGTCGATCGAATAGCGCGCAACTGCCGCAACTGCGCATCGCATAGTTTCAGTGCACTATCGACTGCAGAGCAAGGAGGATGGCGTTCAGAGCCCGGACAAGACTTTTAGTTCAAAAAGCGCGAAAAAATTTTGAAATGCAATATTATAATTCGACGGAATCGACGCCGACGGTAAGTTAAAAGTCATTATTTTTCAATGACTAAATTATTATATGCTTACTGTAATGTAAAGTGGAAATCAAATATAACGGTTTTTAGAATATTAATGAATTGCCCCTTATGCCTTACATTAAGTATGAAACCACCTCGTATTTCAACAGCAGTATTGAAAATGCTTCTGATAAGGAAGTTGCTTTAAAAAGGTTGCAAAATTTTTGTAATGGACCCATGACAGTAATAGAAGATACTGAAAAAAAATTGGTCAATGAATATGATATTTCTGAGGAAGATAATACCGAGTTTGATATTGAAGCATTATATAGTCCTTGCGATGACAGTGACGCCGATAAAAACTACCAGCCTAGCGGCAGCAGTAGCGAATCAGAAAAGGAAGAAGAAACACAAAAAAGGAGTAACAAAAAGAGGGTATTTTTTCACAATTTTAGCATAATTCAATTATTCTCAATTAATTTTTTGTAGAAAATTTTGTCCGAACTAGTAAGAATAGATGCATCTGAAAATGTGGAAGACGAGGGTAATGTCAATAATAATAGTTCTGGAGGAAATAGAGATAAGGAAAATGAAACCACAAAAAGGGTAAAAATAATATTATAATAATTGTTATATTTTCAACTTTATTTATTTTCAGTTTTCAATGATCGAGAAATCTTATCAGTTAGAATCTACAGAAAATAATATGCCTGGAACCAGTGGAACCAGCACCAAAAAGAAAAAATGTCGTCGTACAGAGCAAGAAAAAGTTGAACATGGTAAATTAAAACATCCGATGAGAAATCTGTGTTCAGGAAAATGTAAAAGGGATTGTACCAAGTTATCAGATGAGGATAGAAATAAGATATGGGATCACTACTGGAATTTAAACTATACAAGTAGAAGAAAGTGGTTAAGCAAACATGTTTCACTTGTTTCTGTTAAGCGTAGGATATTGTCAGCATCTAGAAATAGATCAGAGTCCAGACGATTTTCTTTGCCTCTTGCTGATTCGAAAGACGTTCAAGTTTATCAACTTACATTTCTAAATACCCTAGGATACACCAACGATTCTGTAATAACTGAACTGGTGCGAGCTATTAAAAAGAAACCCTGTGGAGAAATGGTAAAAGAATGTAGGGGAAACCATAAAAAAGCAATTGACCCAACATTCATTAAAGCCCATATTGAATCATTTCACCCATTTGTCAGTCACTATCGCCGAAAAAATGCACCACTACGTAGATACCTGTCGAGGGAATTAACTATTGATAAACTGTACAATGATTTCAATGAAAAGAATCCTAATACATGTAAAGTTGAGACTTACAGAAAAGTTCTAAAAGATATGAATATATCCATGTGTCCTCCTAAATCCGATGTATGTGAAGAGTGTGAGACAATGGAAAATGATGATGATGATCAAGTGAGGCAAAAACTACATACACATAAACTAAGAGCTGCAAAGGCTACTTCACAATATAAGAAAGATGCAGAAGAGGCATCTACTTCTGAAAATGCTACGTTGAAACGTACATTTTCAATGGACTTACAAAAAGTTATGCTCCTACCCATAATGCCTGCTTGTAAAAGCTCTTTTTTTATTAGCAGGCTAGTAATATTTAATGAGACTTTTGCAACATTAAATAAGGAGAGCCGCAAAAAAAGTTATTGCGTTTTATGGCATGAGGCTCTTGCCGGCAGAAAGGCAGAGGCGATTGCTGATTCGATTTTAAAATTAATGAATCAAGAAAGGGATGCGACCGAATTTCTGTTTTGGGCAGATAACTGTACAGCCCAAAACAAAAATTGGGTGTTATTTACAACTCTTGTAAATGCAGTTAATTTACCAACTGGCCCAAATAAGATAACAATTAGATACCTCACCAAAGGTCACACCCATATGAGCGCAGACGGAATACATGGAAATATAGAAAGAAAAATAGGGCGGAAACGAACAATTACTGACTTTCAGGAGCTCGTAGAAGTTATTCAGGCATGCAGGAAAAATGTCGATGTCCTTCAACTAACCGAATTTCATTTATGGCAAAATAAAAAGAGAATCACAAGGAAGCCGGATGACCCATTGAAAGGGTTTCTTATAGGTGAGCTGGTTGAAGTAACTTTTTGTAAAGGAAGTAGAAACATAAAATATAAGCTAGATTTTGGAGGCGAAGAAAAAGAGTTAGATTTTCTACAAAAAAAAGTTAATTTACCTATTGTTCCTGAAATTTTACCAGCAAGAGGAATTTCCGCTTCTAAAAAAGAAAAAATTTGTAAAGTTTTGGTTCCTTTAATGCCTTTAAATCGAAGAATATTTTGGGAATCTCTTCCAGAGTCTCAAGGGTCTTTAGATTTACTGAATGCCGAACAAAACATTGAAAGCCCGCAGGATGATTCGTAAGGAAATTTAATTTTCATTCTGTTTTTTATATACCTCTTTTCTTTTACTTCCCTATTGAAAAAAATCGTCAGCATCGTTTACGATTTTTCTACATCTTCTTTTCTTTTTTCTGGTAGAAGTTCCTTTTTAGTTGTAATTTAAGAAGTTTTCTTAATATATCTATATGTGTTTAAAATGTCTTTTATTTCACATCATGCAAAAAAAAAAACAGTAACTACCAAAAAGTTAAACAAACACCAAAAAGTTCACCAGGGTATAACACAGTAAATGTATTCACTGTGTTTTGTCATTGAGACTTTTATTCATTTATATTTAGTAAGATATCTTACTGTGTTATTCACAGATTTTTTCTAAAAATACTATATTACTTTCCATGGCGAATCAAAGTTTACTCATCTTTTCAGAAAACGTTGGGAATATAGGTTTTTAGATAATATAGAAGCAAGTGTTAACTAATTGTATTGATCTTGTCCAAAATTGAAAGTGTTATGACCATTCGTTTTGACAGGCTAATTAATTTTACAAAAGTTCAATTTTCTTGAAATAAAAATCTGAGCGGTTACTGTGTTTCTGCCTGGGACAGCCGAGTTGCTCTAGATGGTTAGACAAAATTGATCGGGAATTACCAAGTGGGACGAAAAAACAACCGTTTACCATATGCAATCCAGGTTATCGGGGGCTTTGCTAAGACGTGGTATAACAGTCTGGAAAGTTATAAGCATTCCTGGACAGAATAGAAGCACATGCTCATCTATACGTTCCCAAACCATCACGATTTCCCAACTGCCCTTAAAAAAATGATGCGACGAGTCAAGGTTTTTGAAGAAACATGGACCGAATATTATTTTTCAAAATTACAGCACCTACGTTATAAGTGGTAAAAACCATACAATCTGGAGTAAAAGTAGGCCGTTACGAAAACCCCGAGCGTTTATACGCAGATTATTTATCAACATTACCCATTGCAAGAGATGCTGGACCAAATCGTGACAGAGAAATTTTTAGAAAAATCTCAGATAGCAATAAAAACGAAAATTCTCGCCACCAACGACGTACACCGAAACCAACCAAATGTTACAATTGTCAGCAAATGGGTCACATGCATAGAGAGTGCACCAAACCACGTATGGAATGTACCAAATGCCGCAGATTACGTCATGTAGCTAACAATTGCCGTAATGATAAGCCTTCGACATTTCGGAAAGCAATGTTATGCAACACAGAATCCAAATCAGATGCCGAGGATTATCATGTGACGTGTCGTATAAATGGACAGGAGCTGCAAGGTTTTGTCGATGCTGGCTGCGAGGTGGTTATTATTCGTAAAAGTGATGCACTAAAAGCAGGTTTACAATGGAACGACACCGATGTTTGTCTCAATGGGTACGGAGGTAGCACTACAAAGGTCTTAGGATTAACTCACGCTGATCTGGCTGTAGATCTGCACGAAACTCATGTAGACATATTTGTTGTGCCAGATAAATTAAAGAATTCACCCGTTCTTATTGGAAGATCTTTACTGAATAAAAACGCCATAACTGTAGTCCAAAAAGGTGGCGTACGACTATTCAGTTCGGAAATAGCTGAATTACCACAAATAGAGCAGCTGCCCCATTATTGTTTCTCATTTACATCAATAATCTAGCTTCCATCAATATAAATGGAGCCTTTACATTATTTGCTGATGATACCACGATACTGTGGCGTGGAACAAGCGATGATACTTTGGAAGAAACAATAAATAGAGACATACAAATTATAAAAAAATGGTGTGACGCAAACAGCTTGACTTTTAACATAAGCAAAACCAATTTTATATCATTTAGGGGAAACGCTCCAAGTATCTCACTGAATGGTGGAGCTGTGAAAAGTACAGACTGTGCAAAGTTTTTGGGAGTTTTTATTGATTGCAAGTTAAAGTTTGATATGCATATTATAATGTTAAGGAAAAGGTTGGCTTCTGCTTGTTATGCTGTTAGAATTGTACATGGTGAACTTGGAGCCAAAACAGCAAGAGATGTATATTTCTCACTGATAGAGTCTCATTTGAGATATGGCATACAGTTTTGGGGCTTTGCCAGCCGGCATCTTATTCAGTCTGTTTTTGTCTTGCAGAAGCGGGCTGTGAGATATTTGAGTGGTGTTGGTCACAGAGATCACTGTAGACCGCTGTTTATTAGGGATGGGATTCTAACATTGGCTTGTATTTTTATCCTTAGTACAGTAGAGTTGGTTTGTAAGAAATGCAGGGGATCTGATGTCGCCTCAGCAAGTGCTTACGCGACAAGATATAGCAGTGAAAATCTGAGTCTCTGCATTCCTAAAAGTACCCTTACTAAACATTCAATTATATATGAGTCGTGGCACGTAAGCCTGAAGTCACTGGGGTAAGTGTTAATAAAGTAAATCTATTAAATAAGTTTACCATTGCTGATTTGGATGGTCATGTGTCTGATAACGTATCAAATACTGACCGGAATAAACTTTTATTAGTTTTAAATAAATATCGTGACTGTTTTGCGCTAAAAGTTAATGAGCTAGGTACGATAAACAATTATGAAATGTCAATAGAGTTAACAGATAATAAGCCAGTAACGTACAGGCCTTATCGACTGTCAATTGGAGAGCGAGAAAACGTAAGAAGGATGGTAAACGAGTTGTTAGCTGCTGACATCATTCAAGAATCAAATTCGTCCTATTCCAGTCCAATTGTTCTTGTTAAAAAGAAAAATGACGAGACTCGCATGTGTGTGGATTACAGGGCCTTAAATAACAAAACAGTAAAAGATTCTTATCCTCTGCCAAGGATGGACGATCATCTGGAAATGTTGAATGGTTGCACCAGTCATGGCAAGTGGTTACCATCAGATTAAAATGAAACTTCCAGAAGAAAGACATCTTTTGTGACCCCATATAGTCAATACGAATACTTGAGGATGCCATTTGGCCTTGTAAATGCTCCAGCGGTATTTCAACGCACTATTAATCAATCAATGAGATTTTCTACCGCGTTGACTTATATGGATGACATTTTAGTCCCCTCCACTAGTATCACGTCTGGTCTTATCGCATTGGGTGATGTTTTAAATATTTTTCGGTAAGCAGGTGTTACTTTACGACTAGAAAAATGTAATTTTTTTCAAAACAAAATTGATTATCTTGGCCAAGAGATCAGTTCTGAAGGTATAAGGCCAGGGTTAGAAAAAATCAGGGCAGTGGAATGCTTCCCTACGCCTAAGAATGTGCATCAAATACGTCAATTTATAGGTCTTTGCAGTTATTTAGATGTTCTATACGAATGGGAGCAGGCAAAGAACAACGCGTTCATTTCTTTAGGTTTCACAGCCTGTCAAAGTTGTAAAAAGTCAATTTTCAACTGTCAATATTTCCAAAACAGTTGAACTTAGGTATAGGATATATCACATGAAATCTGCTCAGAATTATACGTAGAATCCAAATATGCAATCACATACAGGGTGTTTCATTTGAAATAGCAATGATGTCACTTTTTGGAGTAGAAGCGGCAACACCGCATAAACAAAAATATTTTTAAAGTGTAGATTTTGGTCGTTTATCCCGGTTGCAAATTTTCAAAATGATCCGCTTTTTAGTTCCTTATTAAGGTCTAATACGCCATCCGCGTGGGACACCCTGTATAGTGCATCTCGGCATCTCATTTGAAAAAAGCTGAAAGCATGTAAAATTTCACATTTCTGACTTAGAGCAGGTAATTTCCTAGGTGGGAGGAGTAGGAACATGGAGTTGGAAAATGAAGCTGTTTTTTTCCAGGTATTTTGAGATCCAAAATAATGGCAGTATAGATAATGTAATGCTTTACCTGTCATTTGGTGTATAAACACCTGCTAAAAACTGGCTTCACTTTCAATTTCATAGCAGAATGACGCGTTCCTACTCCCAATGTCCGTAGGATAACACTTTACCTGCTCTAAGGTTTCTAACCATGAATTTTGAAAATTTAACTAAAACTGTACAACTTTTGTATTTACAAATTTTTTCTACTTGTCAAGTGTAGGTGGGGTGTCAATATTTAAAAAAACACCCTGTACTGGGGACTATATGACTATAGGAGGTGACTAATGAACTCTGAAACTGAATAACGGACAAGAAATAAGATAATGTACTGCAAGACAAGCCACTGAAATGGATTTTTGGGAGAGGTCAGCAGGCAGGTCAAAAATGGAAAGGATATCAAATCTAAGAATTAGGGAGATCATGGATGTAAAACACAATAGTAGATGAGATAAAGCACAAACACCGAACAATACCCAAGCAAATTATTGAGTAGTAGCCAGAAGGAAAAAGAAGACGCGGCAGACCAAGAAAAACCTGGAAGAAGTGGAGTAAACGAAGAAATGACAGACATAGGCTTAGAGGAGAATGTCTAGAATGACAGAGATGGTTGGAGACATAGAACCTTATAAACCAATAATTATATCATAAAAGATCATGCAGTTTTGATTAGAATATCAACTTCAAGCCAAAATTACAATTAAAAATTCTTACCTATAAGTGTACATAAACCTAAAATACAAAGTTTCCTATCGTGAATGCCCAAAAAGCAGTCCGTGTCGTGCAACCATTGCTTGATAAAGTGATTAGTAAAATCGGGCATCTTTTGCAGTACGCCGAAAAGCAACTGCGGATCGTAGTAAAGGGCAGCGATCAGCACTTGCAAGCACATAGTCCTCAGTTCGCTGGTCTTTACTTCTCGCAGGAGCCGCGTGGCTGCCAGTTCTACTAGCATGGGCGCGGCGCTGTCGATTTTTCCGCGGCATTGCAAAAGTACTACTTCCAACAATTTGGCCGCATGGGATTCTGGATCTTCTCCGCTCTCCTTGGTTAAAACTTCCTTGCACATATTGTAAATCGCCAACAGTCGCTTTTCATCGGACAAAAAGGCGTCAGTGTCGATTGTTATGTAATTATGCAAAGCAGCCATCATATCAGTGAAATGATCGATGCCATTTTTCATGAAGATTTGATACAACAACTCAAAAACTTTCCACATATCAGGCGAGATTTGCTTACTCGTAAGATCATAAATAAGTGCTACAACTTCTTCATAAAACTCTTGTACTTCATTTTGCAACACATGAGCAATAACTTGTAAAACTGTTGGCTCCAATAGAGCCATTACTTCAGGATGATCATCCATTACTGTCAATAGTGTTTCTATTGTATTCAACAAGCCCATAGCTGTGATGGCCTTTTCGTCTGAGCCTTCATCTGTGTCCAAAACTTGCACAAAAGTGCTAGTCAAGTGCTGACAAATTTCAACAGCAATAGGAATCAATTGCTGTGTAAAAACACAAACTAATTTTTGCATTACACCAGTCACATCTTCATTTTCAGTTTCCCTGATTATCGTCAATAGTTCCAAGGCAATTTGTTTGACTTGTGGTTCAACATACTTTTGACTTCTGTCCTGATAATTCAACAAAGATTGTAAAGCTATTGCTGCTTCAACTTTCACAGGTAAATCCTTGTCAAACAACAAAGCTGAAATAGTCAAATTAACTGCATCCATTAAAACGTTTTCTTGTTTGAAATTAAACTCTGCAAAATAGTGCAAGTTCCAACATGCTCTAGCTCTCATGTGACCTCTGTCGCATCTAAACTCAGGAAAAACATATTTGATGAAAAACTGATCCAACTGATCTTTGTAAGGTTTCTTTCTTAATAAAACATCAGCCAGTGAGCCTACCATATGCAAAGCACCATCTTTCTGTGCAGGCTCTGTAGCGGGATTATTTAAAATTGTGGTAAGCATTACCATAGTTTTACCCAACATTTCTTTGCGTTTTTTGCACGAAGAATGCAACAGCGTCTGAGCTGCCGTAACAGGTGAAACAAAGTCCTCGAAAACATCAAACTTAACTCTGATATACTCGTGAGGATCCACAGTCCAAAGTTCATGATCTTCTGCAGAATAACTCATCAATGGAAATAGTACGTCTTGGATTATTGCTGGCATGTGAGGTTTCAATATTCTCCAAGTATAAGCATGGCACACGGCTTGGTTTAGATAATTCAAAGTTTGTTGCAACACCCTGGGCGGTACCCAATGGCCGCCGCGGTACCCGTCCAGGACGCGCAGCAGCACCTCCAAAATTCCAGTGCTGAACGTTTGAAGGTACCATTCGGCGAACTCGTGGTACTCTTTGGATACATGACCGGGCGAGCCGTACCGTTCAAACATCCTATACAAGATGTGAAGGGCCCATTTTTTGCATTTCCACCAAGGTAGGTCGGGACGTTCGTCCTCGTCCGGTTGGAGGGCGGCTTGGGGTACTGCACGTTCTACAACCTGGAACAATTTTGAAAAATTTAGTTGTGAAACTTATAAGAACATCAAAATCTTAAGAACAATCACACTGTTATAGGATTTATAAAATTAGGCAACCATGACAGTTTCATTTATTTTTTTGAAAATATCCTTTATTTATTTATCAAATTTTTTTATAACAATAATTAAATAATTCTCTAAACAGTGCTTGAAGCTCTGGCCCCGAGAATACTACAATTAAAACTATGCTACAGATTCTATGATATTGTATTTCACTATTATATAATAGGTATTTCTAAATTTAACTTTACTTGCTTTATAAATAATTTATAATTTTTTATGTTCCTAATATTTTCCGGTATTTGATTGTATGCTTTACTTGCTTGTATTACAGGATTATTTAAACCTATTTTTGTTCTTACTGCTATCAAGTAAATATTTTCCTGCGATCTAGTATCATAACTATGAACATTATTTGAAAATACAATATTTATATTGTATTTATAAGGAAATCAATAGGAGAAAAAATTCCTGACTTTAGTTATGAGTTTCATATCAACTTCAAACTTATTTTTGATAATAAAAAAACTTCAAATAATAAATCCTGAAAGTTTCATGTTGCTATGATGGCTGAAAGTATTTTTCAGAAACCCTCATAGCTGATTTTATTAGAATTTTATGATATTTTTGAATATTAATGAGAGAAAAAATTCATAACTTTAGTTGTGAGTTTCATATCAACTTCAAACTTGTTTCCAATGCTAAAGAAACTCCAATTAATAAAAAATTAAGCATTGAAGCATTTGAGAAGGTCCTTCAAACTCCAAATCAATTTGATACTTACCATATCATATCAAGATGTAGAAATAGTTATCTCAAATAATAAATTCAAACTATAATTTACAGCTAAAAAAAAATACTCTTCTGCCAGAATAATCATCCATCTCTCACTACACATTTTTTCATAATAGAAACCTTCTGAATTTATTTCACTGTAAACAATCAATTTCAAATGAAAATATACAAAAAAAATTCCAGTGAAAAAATAAATGGTGTTTACACAATTATTGAATCTAAACATTTTTTGAATTCTTTGAATATTTGGGATTTTGAAATACATTAGCTCTGTTCCAACGGACATGAGAACCATTCTTGAACAGTAATTTCCATTGAAAAATAGGTGGGCAACTGGAAATTACCGTTCTAGAACAGTTCTCATCTAATTAATACAGACAAATATAAAAATTCCGTACCTGTCTGCACACTTCCATCCACTGAGCGAAAGATTCCTTGCTGATCAAATCCAAAGGTAAAATATATTGGGTGAGCGCAAAATAAACCTTCAATCCTTCTTTTTGCAACTGCACCGATTGTTCTGAAGCGTCGGGCAACAATCTAACCTCCAATTGGTACAATTGAGGCAGAAGCAAGTTCATGGCTTCGTGTAGAGGGCCTCTTTCCTCTGCTTTTTTGTATTCGAAATTTTTCACTAGCTGATAAAGACAGAGAAGAGCGCCCTGCCAACCACTTGGATCAGGATTTGAAAGATATACACTAATCTAAAGTAATAGTTATTAGTAATTAATTTTGGTTGATGGGTTAATGAGTGTGGCTTACTTTATCAACAATTTGCGTCCATCTGCCTGGAAAATCATGCTTTACCATATTATGGACGCAAGTGCAAAGTTGAGTCCGTATCAAATCTGGTGCATGCACTACAGCATCTACTATGCTGTCTCTTATTAAGGCTCTAAAAATATTAATTAATAAAAATTGTCCTAATAAAGCCAAATGATTTCTTACCTGTCTTGTTCGTGTAAAGCAAAAGGCAGTGGTTGGCCAGCTTCGGTTTCTCTATCTTGCCAATTGGTTGAAATAAGATTTTTCTGTAAATGGATAAATATTTATTAGTTGGTATTGGATTGTTTGTAAAGCAACTTACCAAATAAATAGCACCCGCTTGCCTTACTGGCATGTCACAGTCTGCAGTCATTATCACTTGAAGTAGAGCCGGAGCGAATCCAATAATTTTATGGATCTGAAAAGAAATTTTTGTTAATTTTCAATGTTAAACAAGTTTAGTATCATTGTTAGGAGGCAGAAAATCTGTCTGTTACCTCTTTGAGCCCTGTTTCAGCCTCATTTGATTTTCCCTTAACAGTGGCAGCGAGAAAATTTAATACATTCTGTGAAATTTCCATTGCTTGCGTGAATTTAGATGCTTATGCCTACTTTTTGACAAAATAATTGACAGAACTGAACAACAATAGGTAGTTTATTTGTTGCAAATGGTTTTTTGAATAGCCACATATTATGCAGGATTGCACCTTTTTTGCTCTACTGATTTTAAAGTAAAAAGTGTAGTTTCAAAATGTGGAAATTTTGTATTGGGTATTTAAAAATTGAGTTTAATGTTTTCTTCAGAATGTTTTTATCTATTTTTTGTATAGATCCAAAACTAACGTGATTGTTTCCAAAAGTTCCGTATAATTTGTAGAGTGTTCTAGAGCTACCAAAATACTCCTGAAAATTTTAACTTGGATCTAAACCTAAACTTTGAAGTATTTCAAGCTTTCGTGAATGTTCCTGAAATTTCGAGAGATGATTTTTGTCTTTAGGTGTACTCAAGTCAAGGTAAATGCATTTTTTTTGCTCTACTGGTTATGAAGTAAAAGGTGTAGTTTCAAAGTGTGGAAATTTCAAATTGGGTATTTAAAAATTGAGTTAAATGTTGTGTCCAGGCTGTTTTTAATTGGTTTTTATCTATTTTTTTGTATAGATAATATTATTATTTTTTAATTCAATATGTCAAGTTTGCACCGTTTACTGCAACAAAATCCAGATCACTCCAAAAATAAAGTTAGAGTACAAAATGTAACCTGAAAAGCTAATCAGATCTGTAAACCAATCTATATCCTATTCACAGGTACAGATAAATTTATCACCTTTCCCTATCAAATAGCATTGAAAGGTGATAAATTTTACCTGTACCTGTGGACATCGGTTTGTGAATGGATAATATGTAATGGAAAAAATTACTAATAAGTAGCTGACTCAGACAGCGTTGGCAAACAATTTTCTCTACTTTGATTTTCAAATAGATTTTTGATGGTTATTTCCATATAACACGTAGAGTGTTCTAGAGCCATCCAAAATACTTTTGGATATTTTAAATTGGATCTAAACCCAAACTCTAAAGTATCTCAAACTTTCTTTATTATTCCTGAAAGTTCGGAAATGTTCTGGTCTGTTTTCAAATGTTTCTGAAATTTTAATTTGATTCTGAGTGTTCTCTGGTGTTTTAGAATATTCTCGAAAGTTCCAATTTGTCTCAAACAAATGCAGGAGAATTGAAAACTCTTCTGAAACATATCAAAATTCTAGAGTTATTCTTAAGTACTCTGATTCTGAAACACTGGGATGTTCTAAAAGTTATCAGAAATCTTCCAAATATTCTTAAGAAAAAAAAACATTCTGTCAAGTTTGCACTGTGTACTCCAACAAATCCCAAATTCCAGATTACTCTAATTCACTCCAAAACTAGAGTTACGAGTACAAATGTACCAAAAAGCTAATCAGGTTTGTAATTCACTCTCTAGGTAATGAAAAAAATTACTAGCAGCTGACTCAGTTAGTGAGTTCGTCTTGAATTACTGAAGCTGGGTTCGGCTATTCAGCGCGGAGTTGGAGTGGAGTGAACAGAGCTAATGGAGTCACCCCTAATACGGTAAAAATCAATACCCGAGCCTTTACCCGAACGGCTGGAGTGCGAATGGAGTCACTCCGAGTGCACGGAGTGAGCAAGCCGAACCCACCTTGAGTTAGGTAGTCAGGAACAGGAAAATACCAGTGACGTACACTCGATCGACCTACGAATGAAGAACAATACGAAAAAATACAAAACTATGATTATTTGAGCACTCGGAACATCTTTCTTTTTTTTTTCCCCTTTTGATGAGAAAAACAGGGATAAAAAACCAATCAGCAGCTCTGAGCATACATACAAATACCAGATTTCTCTAATACACTCCAAGATTAGGGCAAGAGTACAAATGTACCAAAAAGCTAATCAGATTTGTAATCCAATCTCTAGGTAATGGAAAAAATTACTAGTAGCTGACTTAAAGGGGGTGTGCGCCAAAAAAACAACTTCATCTCAAAAAAAAGAGAAAAAAAATCTAAGAATAACAGTTAAATCCGCACCCCTCTATGACAAATAATACCGCAGATATGGCTCTATGAAGGTACCGCATCTCACCCTATGACGTCACGAAAGCTCAAGCGACGCACGAGAAAGTGGATTTAATTAAATTAACATAATGTTTTTCCTGTGTTACCTGCAATAATCTAAACAAAAACCACTCACGCGTGCCGGGAACAATCAAATTAACAATGCAGAGCGCCGCTGGACGAAGTTTTCGTGACGTCACGAGAGCGTCGTTCACACTTTAAAGCGGTATATCTCATCGATGGTTTATCGTAGAATAACGAGGTTTGAACAGTTATTCTTAGATTTTTTTACACTAAAACTTTAATTTTTGGCGCACACCCCCTTTAAACAGTGATTTCATCTTGAATTAATGAGCACTCGGAGCATTTTTCATCTTTTTTCATTTTGATAAAAAAAAAAAAAACAGGAATAAAAAACCAATACAGCAGCTTTGAGCATACCTACATTTAAATTCCAGATTACTCTAATTCACTCCAAAACTAGAGTTAGAGTACAAATGTACCAAAAAGCTAGTCAGGTTTGTAATCCAATCTCTAGGTAAGATACTTCATCTTGAATTACTGAGCACTCGGACCATTCTCCATTTTTTTTTCCTTCTGATAAGAAAAACAGGGATAAAAAACCAATACAGCAGCTTTGAGCATACCTACATACAAATTCTAGATTACTCTAATTCACTCCAAAACTAGAGTTAGAGTACAAATGTATCAAAAAGCTAATCAGGTTTGTAATTCACTCTTTAGGAGGTAATGGAAAAAATTACTATAGTAGTTGACTCAGACAGTGAGTTCATCTTGAATTACTGCTCACTTGGATCACCTTTCATCTTTTTTCCTTTTGATGAAAAACATACTGGAGCTATGAGCATACATACAAATTCTAGATTATTCTAATTCACTCCAAAACTAGAGTTAGAGTGCAAATGTACCAAAAAGCTAATCAGATTTGTAATCCATTCTCTAGAGGTAATGAAAAAAATTATTAGTAACTGACTCAGACAGTGAGTTCATCTTTCATCTTTTTTCCTTTTGATGAGAAAAACAGGGATAAAAAACATACAGCAGCTCTGAGCTCACAGCAATACTACATAGAGAGGGCAAGTCATTCATAAAATCGTTTGGTTTCTGCGGCCAACAATCCTAAACAACAACAGTGGATTAATGAATGAACTACATGGAGTGGGGATAAGATTGCGGACAATGCGGGCCAATCACAAACAAAACTCGTTTGACATTTCTTACTATGAATACTACAGCGCATTCGCGATAATGGTCGGGCTTGCTCCGGCAATATTTGCATCCTTCTTTATCTGATTATTTTAACAAAGATAAAACGATTCAGGTGGGCTTTCCTAGACGAATATAACCAGGTTCCCAGATTTTAGGCAGTGTTGCCATTTTCAGCTAGCACAAAATCTTATTCAAATTTTATTGTGATAATAGATTATTATTTTATATAATAATTATTCCCATTCAATTTTGGAAAGCACCACGATATTTTATGTTATAATTGTATATACATATACCTATCTAGATTTTTATATTTGCGATAGATTTTTTTCAATTTCCAATTCCATTTTCCCTGTAACTTAGGACAATTTATAAATATGGCACATCTGCAGTACCTAAGTGTCCGCAAGTGATCTTAGAATGGGAGTCAATGTTTGGGGCATCTTTTAATCATAATAAACCTATCTATTTCATGTGTTAATCTGAGGCTCTGAGCATACATACAAATTCCAGATTACTCTAATTCACTCCAAAAGTACAGTTAGAGTACAAATGTACTAAAAAGCTAATCAGGTTTGTAATCCAATTTCTAGGTAATGGAAAAAATTACAATACTAAAGCCTGTTTTTTTTTTAAAGATAATTCCCCAAGTCAAAAATTTAGTAACTATGTTGGCAGCACAACCCTTTTCTACACAAAAAATTTGAAAGCATTGACAATTTTACATTGTATTGCCAACATAATGTCATTTTGACTTTTATCTTTTAAAAAAAAACAGGCTTTAGCTGACTCAGACAGTGAGTTCGTCTTGAATTATTGAGCACTCGGAGCATCTTTCATCTTTTTTCCTGTTGATGAGAAAAACAGGGATAAAAAACATACAGCAGCTCTGAGCATACATACAAATTCCAGATTACTCTTATTCAATTCAAAACTAGAGTTAGAGTATAAATGTACCAAGAAGCTAATCAAATTTGTAATCCAATGTCTATGTAATGGAAAAAATTACTATAGTAGCTGACTCGGACAGTGAGTTAGTCTTGAATTACTGAGCACTCAGAGCATTTTTCATCTTTTTTCCTTTTGATGAGAAAAACAGAGATAAAAAACATACAGCAGCTCTGAGCATACATACAAATTCCAGATTACTCTTATTCACTCCAAAACTAAAGTTAGAGTACAAATGTACCAAAAAGCTAATCAGGTTTGTAATCCACTCTCTAAGTAATGGAAAAAATTACTACTAGCTGACTCAGACGGTGAGTTCGTCTTGAATTATTGAGCACTCGGATCATGTTTCATCTTTTTTCCTTTTGATAAGAAAAACAGGGATAAAAAACGAATACAGCAACTCTGGGCATACGTAGATTTACTTACTAGTCAGAGTGAATTTTATTAGTTGAAATTAGTTTTCTGACTGTTTTCAACCAATGAAATTCGCTCTGACTGGTTTGTGAATTCTATCTATCACCTACCTATCAGGTCTGTTTCTGGAGAATTTTGATGAAAAAAACAAGGATAAAAAACTCAATAAGAAGGACGTGCTTTTAGATCGCTCCATTTAAGTGTTATTTTTCC